TGATACCTTTGTTGCACGATGAAGGAAGTCTTGCTGTGCCCCCAGGTCATCGGGAGCTCTAACACCGTCAGAATCACTCAGCTCACACAAGTAATCACCATCCTCGTTTGGACCGAAGTTATATGATTCACACTTGACTTCAATGAAACATTGTATTTTACAAGTCTCTGCTGTCTTTGCTACCGGTGTGCTGATCACGTGATTTAGGAGAGCCTTGTTCGCAACTGGCTCTTCAAACTCCTTTGTTATGCATAGAACTAAAATTCACAACACCGAACGACTATCAATTATTGATTTCTAAGAATCGCAAACAATTTCTGGTTTCTTTTATGGAGTCTTTATAAATGGAACGTTTCGATTTAATTTGACAGCGAGATAGTAACGATTAAAACCCCACATTGCAGTTGGAGACATTTGGGGCACTGACTTTATGAGCCATACCATAATATTGTTCTTTATAGATAAAAAAAAGTTTCGCAATGACTTGACAGCGAGCTCCACTGCGAGACAAGAAGGCTTAATATAAAAAGACTGATGCACTGACTTTTAAATCACACATTCAATCATAATTTGGCAAAAACCGGCTAGAAAGGTAAATGAAATGAAAAGGAATATATTTTTTATTTGAGCTAAGGGCTTTGTTTTTGAAACTTTCGAAAAAGCAATCGTTATCATGAGAGATTAAATTGAGATGTTAAAGTCAAAACAGGTAACGAAAAGCGGTATGCTTTTTACATATAGACTGATAACCTTTAGCAAACAGTTGCCATCGTTATCACCATCATCTAAAAACCTGTACTTATATTTGAATAAATAGGAAATTATCATCGACTCGATCTATGGAAATAACAAGTTGTGTGGAGAAATAAAACCATAATCCTCCTACCTTCATCTGAGAGGCCACTCCACGAAAGCCTATCCAAAACCAAGGAAAGAAACTTGATACATAACTGAAAACAATTCATCGAATCTAGGATGAACTGCAAGTAGCTGAAGGAAACCTTCCTTTGAGGCCCCACAGGTTCAATGATTATTCTGTTATTGCCAAAAGGCTGGCCGTATTGTGATGCGTTACCGACAAATTTTGTCCGTGTTATGAGTGGCGGGTTAATTAACCGTTATAGAATGTTTAGGATAATGATGAATTCTCTTTTGCATTACCAAGCATATTTATGCTGATCAATCGTTAATGACTTCCTCGCCTGATTGAAAAAACTTTTAATCTCATACCAGGTCTTTGAAAAACGAAAAAAAGCAAAAATATTGCAAACTCTTCCCTTCTTGTCTCGGACAAACGACAAAGCAAAAATTTGAAGTCAACCATGAAAAACCGAACCTTGAACCGGATTCCGCGCTCTGATGCTTTACCACTGAGCCACAAACTCTCTACTATGGGCTAGGTCATCCATGGTTTCACATCTGACACGGGTCCTGTATATAGCTAGGATCAGCGATGAGCAAATCGTCATGTCCGAAAATGGCACAAGAAAAACCACCCTGATAAGAGAAATACAAGTGTCTTCGAAAAGTTTTTGCCAGTGTGGGTGTGTGGATGAAGAGTAATATCTGTAACTATGAAGGTGTATTCAGACAAATTCGAGTGTCAGCTGAGTGTTCTGATCGATTTTCTGGATTTGATAACGTGACTAAAAACGAGGACTTTATTTACAGAGCAAGGAAGGTGGTGTAAAAACAGAAATAGAAAAATTGAATTTCCAACGGCAAAAAATATATGGTAACCCATGCTATCTTTGTACAATTTTTATATTATGTAAATTTAGGGATCATGAATGAAAAATCCTGACAATTCTTCTTATGAACCATCAGAAAATTCTCTCAAAATTCTCTCATTCTAAACAAATGCTGATAAACTTAAAATAAGCGCAGACAGGTTAGGTTCAACTCATCACCAATAGATGAGCTTTGGAACTAGTCCTTAAAGGTTGGCAGCAGCGGAGAAGATCTGTCGAAGCCAGTCAGGAAGAAGCACACCAGATAGAGGACGACCATCTTGCAGCACAGTGATCATAACCTGCACCCCACAGAGCGGATGGCTACCCAAACCAATATTCCGGTTGGCCCCCTTATGAAAAGGGTCAGCTTTTGACGCCTTGATGGTGACACGCATACAAGACGGCGACGAGGCTCCATTCACTGCAATATCCTGCATAGTCAAGTGAATTGAAGAAGAGAAGCTGGCCAGATTGGGCACTGTAAACTCACCAGCGCGGAAGAAACCAAAGTACCCCAGTGTGCACGCTGCCCAAAACATACAATGTTCCGGGAGGTGCATGTTCAGGGATTTCCAGATGAACAGCATGTGGCTATCTGTGATGGGCAGACAACTAGAGGACGAAGAACCCGGAGATCGTTTAATCCCACGAACGACCCGTTGCAAACACAGACAGTTCTGTAGAGGATCTGGTAACCCCTGCTCAACATGAAGCGCGCGAACACCAGACAAATAGACCTACACACTGAGGGGAGTCAGGGAGGGGCTAGCCGTTATGAAATCGTCTGAGTAATGTAGCAAATCAGGGACCTTATAGTCGTTAACTAAGATCCATTTCACTAATATCTTCAACACAATTAAAAATATGAGGAGCTGAACGGAGACTGAATGGAGGGACTAAATCAAAGTAAAACTTGCTGCGCCGTTTCATACCGAGGAGAAAGCGGTCTGAAGGGTGAATTGCAATGTTCCGACGGGAAGCTTCGACGTCGAATTTGGCCACCAGTGCTCCTCGACCAAACTTTGATACCATGCGAATGACTTGGTCCACCATTATGTAATGCAGTGCAAATTCATCAGGGTTAACATCGTCATTCACACTGGCCACTCCGGGAGAGGAGAGATCTACAATGAGATGCCACCTTCCCGGTTGACTCATTTTCGGAGTCACTCCAAAACTGCTAACGTGAGGAAGAGGAAAAGGAGGCGAGGCAAAGGGGCGAGCAACCCTCTCCAAGGACACTTCAGTCGCCAGGTACACATCAGTGACTGAGGGGTGTTCATAAGCTGATGGTTTGTTCTTTTGAAAGGCTTGAGATATTATAAATGAGAAAAACCTAGTTTAAAACTAAAGCGAAGCCCATCCAAAACAGATGCCATGTGAGGATGCCTCAACTCCCAGGAAAAATGCTCCACCTTCAACTGTAGAAACTGGAGGGAGCGTTGCTAAAGGGAGGAGAGAAACAAGAGCATACTTAGGGGATCACAAGCCATACTTTGCCCCACCCCCAAGTAGACATAGATAGCAGCTCCTCAACCACCCTATAATGGTAAAAGAGGAAGGACAAGGACCATTCCACCCTAACATAGGTAAGAGACAGAAACAAAAGGATAAAACATTTTTTAATGGACAAAAGAATCATGGCCAGCCCTACTCCTAACATGTAACAATAGAGAAATATGGCTGACCAAAACTGGGAGGCACAGAAGCCGAGCAACAGAGGCTAGCAAAACATGAGAACACCACCTCAGCTGCGTTTAGACTGACTGCTGGAACGTGGAGATACCAGAGACGGGGATCTCCGCTTTGGAGTCTACTCAGATGGCGTCGAAGCCAAGCTAGGGCAGGTGAGGCACGATAGGACCCTGAACAGCTCGAACAGCGATGCGATTTATTGGCAAATTCGCCAAGCCCTTGAGTAAAGGCAAGTGTTAGGGTAATTCAAGGTGTTGACAGGTTCAGTACCTATTCAATCGTTCCTCATTTTCCAGATTTCATTTACCTCAGCAGAATGAATCACCAACTGCGCCATGTTATCCTCCAATCAAAAGCCGGTACTTATCAGCCTTGTCTGTCACCTTAAAAGTCGTGTACTCGGCGTACTTGGCGTTCCTATCAAAGTTTCCATCTCGATTCTTATCATAGCGTTGTAAGCGATATTAGCAAGAACCTACTGACCATTGTGTACAGACCAAGTAAGACTGAAATGGAGGCGAAGAGGAGATGAATAAAAGCTAGAGGAAATTTTCAAAACATAGTAGAGATTTTCTGAGATAAGTCATTCAGCTATCTAGTTACGATGTTAATCAACATATCATGTCTCATTAACTTTAATTTTCAGACGTGAAAAACTAACACAGCGAGAAACAAAGTTGATAAATCCCCTAACACAATGTATTTGTCTGGGTTTTTCATCTTCTACAGGAAAACCATGTTGTTGAAAAAAGAGAGATTTCGGTACCTTCTTTCTAAAAAGTAACTTTTGAAAAAAAGTGACAGATGAGATAAGCCAAAGTGCTTTCCATGAATTTGTTTTGTTACTCCACAGACACAAAAAGTTGAGTTCGGCTGCTTCATAATGTTCCAATTTTAGTGACCTGTGCACCATCAATCTGAATGGTGGCATCCTAATGCAAGGGTTGTGCGGCATTAACTCTGACTATTAAGATTGGCTTCTATCTCGGATGGGACTCCTGCAAATACGGGTTTCAAAATCTCAGTTACGAGTTCTAGCTTGGGAACGACAATTTTTGCCGTTTGACACCATGTTGAGAGTCGTCCTGAAAGACTTTGTAAGGAAAATCGATTACGCTTGCGATGTTTGAGGTGGCAAACGAGGCAAATAGGTATACCGGTTCTTAATTGAAGGATAAAGCGGCTCGGCTGGTGGCAACATGGAGGTTCATAGGTATAGTAACTTTTGGTCGATTTGTGATTGCTTTTAGTATTTACATTGAAATTTGGATTATCCCCGAAAGAAAACGAAAATTAAGATTTGCACTGCATGGTACGCACATAACGACTGGTTGGGGCTTAAGAGGTCAGAAGCACTTAGAGGTTACATTGTACTGAACTTTAAAAAATTGTATAACTTTAAAAACTGCTTTTTTTGTTGGAATTCACAATGAAATTCTAGAGCAACTTTTCATTCTTCTGAAAAGTTTGAATGATGATATATAAAGCATTCGAAGCTGAATACATAGAACTTCGATTAGAAAAATGATCATCGGGGACTACTTTATTTGGTTTCCTATGAATGTCCTTCGCACTCCGTACAATGCTATGCAGTGTATTTTAGAATTGTTGCATTAGACGTCACTGAAGTTGACACACGTGCGACACCTTCTCTCGTTAGTATAGATTTATCACTTGTTCGGGGCGGGTCGGTTTACACTACAACAAGAAGTCGAGTAAAGTGTTTCCGTAATCTAAATTGCGTACTTTTAATCGACCCTGTTGTGATTTTGTCCTCTAATACAATTAGTATATCTATTTCTGCAGTGCTCCAACGTTCTGGAAAGTTCGGTTAAGTAACTGATTTCACAGAAGGACTTTTAGGACTAAGATTATGATAACGTATATAACTATGGGCTGTACCTAAACACTAGTTCGTGGGCATGAATTTCGATGAAACTGTCGAAGAAGATTCAATTTAATGGTGTCGTCATGTAGACGTATTTACTTGCTAAGGTAGGTTTTGTGCAAGTTTAAGCTCAAATTGTCTCCTAGTCGTTCACTCTAGCGTACAAAGTTCAAATTGTTTCCTTGTTGTTCACTCTTGCATAGACATCGTCTTATGCCTTCGTTTTTACTTTCATCTCAGTGCGTTTTAGTGAGTAGTGATAGCCCCGGAAAGCGTACCAGTTGACACCTATACCAAAAGGGGCTCCAGGGCCATGGAGGTACAATCCGTTCAGATTGGACCTATGGCAGTCGTTGTACCACCAGGCTCCCTTGTAGTGTTCGGCGCAGTTAGACGTGTGATTACCATGATCATTGTCCTGGTCTTTTGTAGAAAACTGCATTTGGCTGAAATAAAATGAAATTTCATGTAAGCTTGTTTGTATCATGTTTAAACATGTGGAAGATGGTTACTGTTAATAAGAAACTTAGTCTAAGTATACAAATTACTTTAATAAATTGCATAAAGTCAGTAGAGATAAACACCCGGGGACACAGGCAGACTGACAAAGTAAGATTAAGTGTTTTGGCGATTTAAGTTTTGTATTCAACTTAATTTTTTTTTTCACAGCCAGCGACCTATAATTAGGAGAATGCACCTTTTTTACGCGACGCGGACCAGATAATTCAACCTTTCGTCTGAGTTATCAGCATTTTTAAGGGGCTGGTTTGATTGCTGTTACCAGACATCAGCTTTCAAGTATTGCCAACAAGTATTGTTTACAATTAAAAGTTGATCAGGATAGTTTCTTTGAGGCTCAAGAAAGTCTTCTTTGTTTTTCAGTATATTACATTTTTAAAATCAGCTTAAGGGAGTTGAAAAGTGTTTTTAATTTGATCGCACGAGATCTGGACGCGAACATAACACGAGCTTTAAAGACGTCAAACAGGAAAAAAATGCGGCTCGATACGATCGTACGATTGTTATCTAAAACGGTCTATAAACAGTATAAAACGATAGAGTTTTCTATAATTACAGTTCATATCAAGTATTTGTACATATTTAGATAAATTGAAAATAAGATATTTTTGGCAAAACCGTTGAAATGACTTAGAGATTTTGCAGTTGCAAAAAATCAGGCAATATACTTATTATAATGTGGCAAAAAATGAAAACATTTTATTGGGGAAAAGTAAAGATATTGAGCTATTTAGGCCATCAATTGGAATACTGATTATATATATCGTTAGCCAAACTGGTTAGTTTTTTTATGGGAAACTTTGATATGATTAAGTTTGATAGGTTTCCTTTTGTAGCTTTCGCCCTAGTTTATTCATGAATACTCGTGGGAGCCACCTTAAATTGTCAACTTTGGATTCATATTTTCAAAAAAACTTATTCGTTCAATCCGGTCAAAAGTTCTATCATTCGCTAAAACAGTTTCATGGTGACTTTTTCCATCGTGAATATTTTAATTTTAATGCAGAACGCGTTAATATTGTTGCTATTTGGTTGAAAATGGAGTTTCTCTCATGATTATAGGTGTTGCAACCAGACACCATTTAACATCTGGAGAGAGAAAAACAACCATAGTAGATGCCGCTAAGATTCGAATCATGGCAAATATTGTACCACCAGGCACCTTTGAACTTCGAAGCACATTGCATATCGGACCTTTTGTCGTTTTTACTATCTTTGGTCCAAAACTGTATCACACTAGAAACATAAGCGAGAGTAAGAAAAAGATCACAGACATTAACCGTATGAGTCACACTTTGTCACAAAATAAACGGTACTATTCCGAGCAGCACTACCCCCTCCTTGTAATCTCCGTCGAGTTATTTAAAAAAAGGAATATAGGAAAAGGTTTGGTTATAATTGAGAAAAGAAGAAAAATCGTCCTAAATTAAAATCTCTTAAAAGTCAACTTTTTCCCTATTGTTATTTATTGTTTTTTCTCACCTCAGAACATAAAGAGGTTTCAAAATCAGAATATTACATCGCCCAGAATATTTACTGCTGACCGATTGATTTCCCTTTTTTTGTTTCGATAAAAAATTGTTGCGTCAACTGTTATGATAGAAAAGGTCTGGATAGCAGCAGATATGTCACTTAAATTTATGATAGAAAACCAGTAAGTGCCTCTTGGCTTTACCGCCGAACACTGGTTGATCGAAAAACATCACGATCTCACCTAATGATGCGTAGCCGTAAGAGAAGTTCAAAGAATTGACTGGCTCAGCTCATATCACTCTAAGGCTCGTTCAGATTTCATTTACCTTAGAGACACGCGCATGGAGTCATGCCCGAGCATGGAGTCACCAGCCGTGCCAGAGTATCCTCCAATCAAAAGCCTGTACTTATCAGCCTCGTCTGCCACCTTGAAAGTAGTGTACTCAGCGTAGGCGATGTTCCCTTCAAAGTCTTCCAGGTCAACTCTCAGCATTACGTCATCAGAGTCTGTCAAATGATGAAGATTATCGTTTCCGAGCCAGAACTCGCCATTAAGATTTCCAAAGCCGTATTTGTAAGATTCCCATCCTAGAAAAAAATCTACAGAGCCGTCTAAACGTCTCTGAAAAACAGTCCAACCTCCACCATCCGTAATCATGTCACACAACACTTGCACTGGTTTTCCGCCATCTGGATTGATGGTGTATACGCCACTGGAATTCCAACCGTGTCGAAGCAATTCAGCGCAGCTGCTTGGCTCTATATCTATGAGATAGTACAAAAAAAAAACAAACAAACAAACATAGAAACAAGCATACCAATAAATATATACAACTTAACCTAATTTGCCGAGTGAAATGCACTGTACCAAAGACAGTAAAAGTTTGCCGAACAGTAGAGCACGTGACTCAGGAACACAACTTATTAATAGCTGTTCTAAAGATTATCGTGAGGATCGTAGTTTCTTTCGAATGCTTAAAAAGTATCTTCGAGAATGATGTCTCCCACCTCCTTTGTTAGTGGCTTCGCTAGCTACCACGATACGCCTGAAATCCAATAGGGGGTCGGAACAGTTATCCTTACTTAGGAGGCTACGGGTTCAACAATTACATAAGCCATCTTGTTGATTTATTGCAGTATTGCCTGTGTTACTACTGAGAATATTCCATAATCGTCTTTTGCTGTTTGAATTCCTAAATTTTTAAGGCCAAACCAAGCATATGACAACTCCAACACTAACCGCAAGTTGGTCCTCTGAAGCCATCTGTACATTTGCATCTTAGACTGCCATCTTGATAGTTGGGGACACAGATTCCTTTTTCGCCACAAATGGAACCACTTATCTTACAAGGGCTCTGTATTTTGAAAGATGTCAACTTAATGCAAGTGCTAACAGATTTGAACTTTAAATTCTCAAATCCAGATACAGTAAAATTTGCACAGTCCTTTACCAGAGACACATTAAAACACCCGTTCTGAATAACTTTTGTGAGTGGAACAGTAGAAAAATAAAATCCTAAACACTTAAGGAACAGATGAATATTGATACTCATCCAGAGGGTTAAGGCTGACATTGTTTAGTTTGAAAAGATTTAAGAAAAGGCTTCATATTCTTTTCATATCCCAAAGGCCTCCTGTGGTGTGTTTTCGTCGGCTTTCGTCTAGGATCTTCAATTGCATAATTTTTTACATCGCTTCTTGCCATGCACAACATTTCGCAAAACGTTGAGAAATATCAATCTTTATCAAATGTTCTAAACGAGAGGAGTCAGCCTGTGTAGCATCTTGGAGAAAGCCCGGTCAAGATAGGTTTTCTTTTTCTCTAGCTTTCTTTGTCCCATCTTCCTTTCGCTTGTTTTTCCCAATAAACTATTGTTAATCCCACTGAGGTTCCGAAATGACCTCCTCAGAGAAACTAAATGGGTTCGATAAATGATAAGGCTAACCCTAACCCTAAACAAATTCACCTGCAACTTAAGGTAATAATAGTCTTCCATCTAAGCCATGACAATTTCTGTAACATTACGAAAAGTGTATCTTAAATACCTTTATTCCTCTGTAAATGAAATCTTTATCTGCAGTTAAGTTAGCAAATCCAGCTAATCGATCAGAGCCGCTTAGCTGACACTTGAATTTCCTTGAGTCGCCCATTATGGTTCTAAAGTTGTAAGACTGACATTGCTCTTCCTCCACACACCGTAACTGACAGGAATTTTCCGAATCCACCTCTACCTCTCCTATTATGCTTCCATTCAGCTTATGTCCCTTTATCTTGTCAGCAAAGTTAACAGCCTTCAAATCTGGCTCTGAAATACGGCGTACGCCGTACACAACGACACAAAGAAGAAATATTATACAGAGATGCATGTGTAGTCTTCACCGTCAGAAAGCTTATGATGAAAAAAAAATAAATGTTTGCCTAGTTTCTATCACTTAAATAGCCCAGCAGGTGCAAAGGAAATTGGCAAAATTAAAACAGTAATTTCCACGAGCATCCTTTTTAAAGTTAAACGTCAGCTTATATTTTTGACATTGCATCATGTTACATTGTTTCACCTTTTTTCACCAAGACTCTATCGTTTGTCATGTGAGGGTTACCTTATATCTTTTTTGATGCAGCAAGCCAAAATTAAACACAACATGAGTTAGTTGACCCTGTATCATCCAGTGAATCCAGTTTAGAAAAACAAAAGCGTGATTCAAATATTCACCTCTTTCAAAACAACTAACGCTTACTAATTTATCAACTAGCTAGAGTGAGGGATTTCGAGCAAATTAGTAAAGAAAGAAAGGTAAAATCAACGAAATACACCCAAAGGCTTTAAAAGGTACAACATGATGAGGATAAAAGTTTTTTTTCTAAAATTTTTCGTTTCTGAATCTTGTAGAACATTGTTATTATTATTCATCAAGTATTGAAAGTTCCGTGATGCTCCAGGTGAAATTTGATAGATGCATTGTATTCGAACGATAATGATCAGAATTAAGATTGAAATATTCGAATCGAAATAGGTGGTTTGATAAAAATACAAGTAGGATTGAACCTCGCTTCTGACCAAATCTACCTGTCGAATAAAGGACTCTAATTCTAATTGAGACTTTTTGGAATTTTAAGATTATAGAAGGTAAAACAAACTTTGATGAATATTGTACCACGAGGCACTGGGATTACGGCCATAGGACTTTGGACTTGCTTTTTCTCGTCTTTAATGCTGCGAAAGAATGAAACACAAATCATTATAGATTATTAACGTAAAAGCTGAACAGAGAGTCCTGGTTACAACAGTATAAGCTACATCTAAGCCTTTTCTATTGTTCTAACAGTCACGCGAACAATAAATCAGGGGAGCAAACAATGAACTTTATACACGAGTCCAGCTCACCAAAACTTTATATCAAAAGTAACATTTCATTTTCATTGTTGTCTTTACAAATATCTGGAAAGTTCGATAAAGTGTTTGATGTTGCAGACATATCAGTTTATGTCAGATTTGGCTCTAAAATATAGCTTACGCCGTACACAATTGCACAAATAACAAATATCATACAAAGATGCATGTGTCGTCTCCATCGTCAGGAGGTTTAAGAGGAAGAAAAATAATCGCTTGTTTTTAACTTTCTATTGTTAAACTATGCTAGCAGTTGCAAAATATTGTCAGACTTAAAGCATTACACGCAACACAACAGTATAGTTTTTTTTTCAAAATTAAGCGTCAGGATCTACCTGTTCCTATATGGGTGTTAAATTTATTTCTATATTTCACCAGGTTGCCATGTTTGCCCTTTTTCCTAGTGGACCCTTTTTACCAAAACGAGGATTAATTTATATCTTTCTCAATATAATTTGTTTACTTTGGATAAATGCAGCTTAACAAACAAAAGCGTTATTTGAATAGTAGTCTTAAAATACATTTTGTTATCCAGTTAGAAATTTCAAGAAGAGTGGAAAGTATCAAAGGTTAAATCAACGAAATACGTGGGAAAGCTACAAAAGGTGCGACATGATGCGCGAATAAGTTTCGTTTTCGAAAATTTTTAATCGCCTGAATCTTATGGAAGAATTATGATATTACTAATTAAGTATTGATAGCTTTGAGGTGAACCTTTCAAATTTGGTAGTTTTCCCTTTCAGTTAGAAGAATAATAAAGAAAAAAAAAACTGAAAAGAACGGTAGCAAGAAATGTATGCTTCTACACTACTGAGGCACCATCTTGTCGACTGGGAAGGTGAATTTACACTTTTCTGGGCGATTTACTGTGATGAACTGCTTGGCTGAGTAAACTATGCAGGGAAGCTAAACTTACAAAACAACATTTCATTTTCATTGTTGTTTTTACAAATATCTGGAAAGTTCGATAAAGTGTTTGATGTTGCAGACATATCAGTTTATGTCAGATTTGGCTCTAAAATATAGCTTACGCCGTACACAATTGCACAAATAACAAATATCATACAAAGATGCATGTGTAGTCTCCATCGTCAGGAGGTTTAAGAGGAAGAAAAATAATCGCTTGTTTTTAACTTTCTATTGTTAAACTATGCTAGCAGGTGCAAAATATTGTCAGACTTAAAGCATTACACGCAACACAATAAAGTTTTTTTTTCAGTTAGAAGAGTAATAAAGAAAAAAAAATTGAAAAGAACGGTAGCAAGAAATGTATGCTTCTACACTACTGAGGCACCATCTTGCTGCATGGGAAGGTGAATTTACACTTTTCTGAGCGATTTACTGTGATGAACTGCTTGGCTGAGTAAACTATGTAGGGAAGCTAAACTTACAAAACAACATTTCATTTTCATTGTTGTCTTTACAAATATCTGGAAAGTTCGATAAAGTGTTTGATGTTGCAGACATATCAGTTTATGTCAGATTTGGCTCTAAAATATAGTTTACGCCGTACACAATTGCACAAATAACAAATATCATACAAAGATGCATGTGTCGTCTCCATCGTCAGGAGGTTTAAGAGGAAGAAAAATAATGGCTTGTTTTTAACTTTCTATTGTTAAACTATGCTAGCAGGTGCAAAATATTGTCAGACTTAAAGCATTACACGCAACACAATATAGTTTTTTTTTCAAAATTAAGCGTCAGGATCTACCTGTTCCTATATGGGTGTTAAATTTATTTTTATATTTCACCAGGTTGCCATGTTTGCCCTTTTTCCTAGTGAACCCTTTTTACCAAAACGAGGATTAATTTATATCTTTCTCAATATAATTTGTTTACTTTGCATAAATGCAGCTTAACAAACAAAAGCGTTATTTGAATAGTAGTCTTAAAATACATTTTGTTATCCAGTTAGAAATTTCAAGAAGAGTGGAAAGTATCAAAGGTTAAATCAACGAAATACGTGGGAAAGCTACAAAAGGTGCGACATGATGCGCGAATAAGTTTCGTTTTCGAAAATTTTTAATCGCCTGAATCTTATGGAAGAATTATGATATTACTAATTAAGTATTGATAGCTTTGAGGTGAACCTTTCAAATTTGGTAGTTTTCCCTTTCAGTTAGAAGAATAATAAAGAAAAAAAAAACTGAAAAGAACGGTAGCAAGAAATGTATGCTTCTACACTACTGAGGAACCATCTTGTCAACTGGGAAGGTGAATTTACACTTTTCTGGGCGATTTCCTGTGATGAACTGCTTGGCTGAGTAAACTATGTAGGGAAGCTAAACTTACAAAACAACATTTCATTTTCATTGTTGTCTTTACAAATATCTGGAAAGTTCGATAAAGTGTTTGATGTTGCAGACATATCAGTTTATGTCAGATTTGGCTCTAAAATATAGTTTACGCCGTACACAATTGCACAAATAACAAATATCATACAAAGATGCATGTGTAGTCTCCATCGTCAGGAGGTTTAAGAGGAAGAAAAATAATCGCTTGTTTTTAACTTTCTATTGTTAAACTATGCTAACAGGTGCAAAATATTGTCAGACTTAAAGCATTACACGCAACACAATATAGTTTTTTTTTTCAGTTAGAAGAGTAATAAAGAAAAAAAAATTGAAAAGAACGGTAGCAAGAAATGTATGCTTCTACACTACTGAGGCACCATCTTGTCGACTGAGAAGGTAAATTTACACTTTTCTGGGCGATTTACTGTGATGAACTGCTTGGCTGAGTAAACTATGTAGGGAAGCTAAACTTAGAAAACTTGCCTGTGGAACAGGAAAGCAGAAATACATGACTAATTTCTATATACAAGGGGTCAAGATATTGCAACTGGACTCTGGACAAACCGAGATACACCTCGTCTGACTTAAATGCTTTCGTCTTTATACTTTACTATACTCACGAGTGTAGTTGGCCAATGTAAATACCTTTAGTAAATCGTGCATGTAGAAGTCGAACGTGACTTGAATTTGCAGCTGCAAAGCTATTTATGTTTTTCTTTAAAAGGTTATGCAAATAATACGTAAGGCAAGTAAACGATGAACTTTACACACGAGTACAGCTTACTAAAATATGAATTACAATAGGTACCCTTGACGTGTCTTTATCGTCTTTATCAAAGCTTTACAAAGTGCGTTAAAGAAATTTAGATCAAGTTTGTGCCATGTCATCCAAAATAAGAAATTACTGGTTTTCAGCTATTTTACTTTACTTTTACTTTATTTTAATTCATATGATACGACGACAACAATTACCGGCTGTGGGTAATAAGGGAAACTGAGTGTCCTCGTTTCATCTTTACGATGTTTATTGGAAATAAGTTACGTATGAAACAAAACTTGTTTCGATGACAAATGCAAAGCGGTGGTTTGTGTTCTGTGAAGTCCTTCACCTGCTTGCCACAGGATTGACACTCACAGTCTATCAGATTCATTGTGCTTCGTTAAGCCATTCACAAGGGATTGGTGAATAAAATTATCGCTTGTGGACGTTTCTTGGCAAGCAATCGAACAGTGCTCTGTCTTGTGCGTAACCTGAAACCCATTAAAGCTGTGGGTGAATTTTTTTTTCTATTTTCTTCTGTGAGCTTTATTTTTTTTTCCAGGAGGCTCTTTACACGTAGTCTGTATAATATTCCCACCTATCTCACCCTTTTACACGAAATTCTTTACATCAAATCTTCATTAACCCACACAAATGTTCCTAACTAAAATTTTAGTCTTTAAACATATCTTACATATGATGTCTACTTCTTAAAGTTCACATTTTTAGATAAATTATCACGCTAAAACAGTAATGCAAGCCATTCCTTTTCCACAAAATAGTTAAATGTTTATTAAAACTCTTAAAAGTCAGAAAGGTGTGGCAAATCTAAAAACTGACTTTTTCACATTGGGGACTCTAAATTAGCCAGTCTTATTGGTTGGGGAAACCAAATCGACTATACTACATATATTCCGGACGTGCTACTGTTAACATTAACTACTGTTAGCTTTAATTATAGATGCTCCATGTCTGTGATGGTAATCCGCCATGAAACTGTTAAGCACAGCTTTGAGCACAATTTAGTTATTTTCAATTTGAAGGCCTCATTTTCATTTCGGTAAGTTTCAGTGAGTATGAATTTCCTCTGAAAGAATTCCAAGAGACACCAGTACTCGGCGTACTTGGCGTTCCTATCAAAGTTTTCCACGTCAACTCTTATATTATATATTATATTACATAGAACTTCGATTATAAACACGATAATCGTGGTCTACTTTATTTGTTTTACTGTGAATGCCCTTGCCGCTCAGTGCAATGTTACGCGTTCTTTTTTAGAATTTTTTGCAGGAGACGTCAATGAAGTGGACACTCGCGCGACACCTTCTACCATAATAGAGATTTATCACTTGTTATAATAAAGTTCAGATATAACACGCACTGTCATTGGTTGAAAGAGCGTGCTCTATGAGAGTATAGAGCATAGAACTGAGCTAAAGCTGTCACGCCATCTGCCATCCGCGATTTCTTTCTAGCTTTTCTTTCGTTAATTGAAAGTGAAATTTCGGAGCAAGCGAGCAAAGGTTTGCAAAAATGCAACAATAACGGTTTTCACGCTCAGTTAGATTGCAAGCTTACGTACGGTAATAAAATCAAACACAGCTAACACTTGTATAGTATATAAAGTTTCGTTGCCAAAAACAAAACAGGAATGATGAAAAATATAACCAGGCATAACTGTTAAAGTTCATACTAATCATGAGGGTGATCATGGCGATCTTCGGTCATCGCAATGGAGCAAGCCTCAGGAACTAAATCGATTACCCTTCGAGTGGAAAAATAAGAGCTAGCTCTGATTACCTTTCCGATGCATTGAGTGGAAGGCCACATCAGTCACTGCAGCCGAGTTTTACGGCGCTGTCATTCCAGGCGATCTTCATGTCCTAGTGAATTCGGCTGTTGTTCATTCATAATACACTCGCTTTGAACAGTTTGTTTTCTACTTGTCATGTGAAATAACTTGCGTATTCTTGTGAGTTACGATTGGGCCGAATTTCACTGAACATTTCATTTTCAAGTTCTATATTAGAAACTAAAAAAACTTCAGGCAAAAGTGTTAAATTCGACATGCCGAACTATTTTAGTTTGTAAACTAACGCAGAATATAAACTTTGATGGTTTTTGAACTTTCAATGGTTTGACAGCTTTAGTCTTGTACAGCCAAACAGATTATTTGAACCATTCTAACAGGGATTCTGATTGGCCTATTGTAGCGTGCTTTATGAGAGTATAGAGCATGCTGACGACACTGTTGTACGCTTTGGAAATAAAATTTGTTTTGAAAATTGAAAGTAATTCTTGGGGAATTTAACGGATTCTTTATTACCAAACAAATAGAGAAGCCTTGACTGTGCTCTGTTCTGTTGGAAAGCACTTAGGAAGCAGCTAGAGCACTCAAGAAGTAGGGAGAAACACTCGACTTCGTCTCGTGTTTCCCCCTACACTTCTTTCGTGCTCTAGCCGCTTCCTACGTGCTTTACAACAGAACAGAACACAGTCAAGGCTTCTCTATTTGTTAATTAGGGGCGGGTCGTTTTATGAAACGACAATTAGTCAAGAATAGTTTCTTCTTAATGTACCGTGCGTGTGTACTTTTAATGACCCTTTTGTGATTTTTTCCTTTGATATAATTAGTACATTGTAATGCACCAACGTTCTAGAAGGTTCGGTAAAGTAATTGATTTTACAGGAGGAGTTTTAGGACTAAGATTATTATAACGTATATAAACTATGGGCTGGAGTACTTAAACACTATTTCTTCGGTATGAATTTCGATAAAACTGTGGAAGAAAATTCAATTTAGTGGTTTCATCCTAAAGACGTATTTACTTGCTAAGGTAGGTTTGGCGCAAGTTTAAGTTCAATTTGTTTCCTTTTCGTTCACTCTAGCATAGACGTCGTCTTTTGCCTTTGTTTTTACTTTCATCTCTGTGTGTTTTAGTGAGTAGAAATAGCTCTGGAAAGGGTACCAGTTGACTCCTTTAGCAAAATGGGTTGTGGGGCCATTGATATACAGGCTCTCTCGCAAATTTCGGCGCAGTCGGACTCGTTATGATGATCATTGTCTTGGTCTTTCGTAGAAAACTGCATATTGCTGAGATGAAATGAAATTTCTTTAAGCTTGTTTATATCATGTTTAAACACGTGTAAAATGGTTGCTGTTAGTGAGAAACTTAGTCTACGTCTACAAATTACTTTGATAAATTGCATAAAGGCTGTAGAGATAGAAACCCGGGGACACACACAGAACGAAAAAGTAAGATCTAAGTGTCAAGACAATTTTAGTTTTGTATTCAACTGAGGTGTGGGTTTTTTTCCACATTAAGGGGTCTATAATCAGGAAAATGCGCCTTTATTACGCAAAGTCTCCTTTGTTTCTCAGTATATTGCATTTTTAAAATCAGGTTCCAATGGGTTTTTGGTCCCACGAGATTTGGACGCGAACATAGTACGAGCTTTAAAGACGTCAAACAGGAAAAAAAAGGTGGCTCCATACGATCGCACGATTGTTATCTAAAAAGGTCTATAAACAGTATGAAACGATAGAGTTTTTTTTTAATTATTATTTTTTATAATTGAATCAATCTTAAGCACATACAGTTCATATCAAATATTTGTACATATTAAGATAAATGAAAAATTAGAGATTATCAGCCAAACAGTTTCAATGACATTGAGTTTTTACAATTTTAAAAGATCACGCAATATCATTATCATAATGCAGCAAAGAATGAACATATTTCATCAAGGAAAGGTAAAGATAATGAGCTATTTAGGCCATTAATTGGAATGACAGTTATATATACCGTTAGCCGATCTGATTAATTTCTTAAGGAAAACTTTAATATTATTAAGTTAAATAGGTTTCCTTTTTCAGCTTTCGTTCCAGTCTATTCATAAATACTCGCGGGTGCCACCTTAAATTTCCAACTATGAATTCCAATCAAAAAAACTTATTCGTTCAATCCGGTCAAAAGTTTTATCATTCCCTAGAACAGTTCCATGGCATCCTTTTTCCACCGTGTAAATTTAAATTTATGAAGAACGCCTCAATGTTGTTTCTATTTGGTTGAAAGTTGGGTTTCTCTCGTGATTGTAGGCGTAGGCAGAACTTAGTTTCATATACTTGCGATTGCAGAAGGATTCGAAATTTAGGCGGAGGGAATAATTAGTGATACAGCAAAATTCTTAAATCAAGTGTGAGATTTCTTTTCGCGGATGTGAAAGCTTTTCAGATGCAAATCCAATCTAGCACCGATAAGCGTTTAAGTTTGCTTCAAAATGGAAGTTGTATCGTCATCATGAGAGATTAGATTGAGATGTATATATATTAGATTAGATATTATATATATATAGATATTATATATATTAGATTGATATATATATATAAACAGCATACTTGTTGAATATAAATTGATAATCTTTGGCAAAAAGTTGCCATCATTTAAATGGAACTAAAAATCTGAAACCGGTTCTTATCTTCGCATAAATAAGAAATTATCGCCGCCTTAACTCGATCCATGGAAATAACAGGTTGCGTGGAAAAATAAAATCATAATCCTCCTACCCACATCCGAGAGGCCACTCCGCGAAAGCCTCTCCAAAACCACGAAAAGAAACATGACTCATAACTGAAAACAGTTCATCGAATCTGGGATGAACTGCAAGAAGCTGAAGGAAACCTTCCTTTGAGGCCCTACAGGTTCAATGGTTATTCTGTTAATGCCAAAAGGCTGGCTCTATTGTAATGCTTTACCGACAAATTTTGTCTCTGTTATGAATGCATTGAAAAGTAGTCGAGAATATTGTTTTCCTAATGTAGCGTGCATACTTTGAATTGATCGTTTGTGATTTTGTCCTCTGCTACAATTAGTATATCTATTTCTGCGGTGCGCCAACGTTCTAGAAAGTTCGGTAAAGTAATTGATTTCACAGGAGGACTTTTTGGACTAAGATTATGATAACGTGAACTATGGGATGTACTTAAACACTAGTTCATCGGTATGAATTTCGATAAAACTGTTGAAGAAAATTCAATTTAATGGCGTCATCTTATAGACGTATCTACTTGCTGAGGTAGGTTTGGCGCAAGCTCAAATTTCAAAATGTTTCCATGTCGTTCACTCTAGCATAGACACCGCTTATGCCTTTGTTGTTACTTTCATTTCTGTGCGTTTTAGTGAGTAGCTATAGCCCCGGAAAGTAAACCAGTTGACTCCTTTAGTAAAAGGGGCTTCGGGACCACTGAGGTACAATCCGTTCAGATTGGACGCATTGAAGTTGTTGTACCACCAGGCTCCCTTACAGCGTTCGGCGCAGTTGGACACGTGATGGTCATGATCATCGTCTTGGTCTTTAGTTGAAAACTTCATATTGCTGAAATAAAGTAAAATTTAATATGAGTTTGTTTATATCATGTTTAAACGTGTGGAAGATGGTTACTGTTAAAAAAGAAACTTAGTCTACATATACAAATTACTTTAATAAATTGCATAAAGACAGTAGAGATCGGGAAGACAGACAGGCCGACAAAGTAAGATCTAAGAGTTAAGTGTATTCAACCAAGGAATGGGTTTTTTTCCACATTCACCGATACATAATCAGGAGAATGCACATTTATTACGTAACCTCTCATCTCAGCTATCAGTATTTTAAAGGCTTGTTTGATCGCTGCTACCAGACATTACCTTCAAAGTATCGCCAAAAAGTATTGTCTATCATTCCAAGTTGATCAGCATAGTTTCTTTCAGGCTCAGGAAAGTCTCCTTTGTTTTTCAGTATATTGCATTTTTAAAATCAGCATATGGAGGTTGCAATGGGTTTTTGGTCGCACGAGATCTGGACGCGAGCATGGCACGAACTTCAAAGGCGTCAAAATGAATAAAATATGGTGACTCGATACGATGGCACAATTGTTGTCAAAAAAAGTGTATAAACAATGGAAAACGATAGAGTTTTTTAAATAACTATTATTTTTTTAATAAAACAGTGTTAAGAACATAAAGTTCATATCAAATATTTGTACATAAATGAAAAATTAGAGATTATCAGCCAAACAGTTTCAATGACATTGAATTTTTCCAGTTTTAAAAGATCAGGCAATATCATTATCATAATTCAGCAAAGAATGAACACATTTCAATAAGGAAAAGTAAAAATATTGGGCTATTTAGGCCATCAATTGGAATACCAATTATATTTATCGTTAACCGAGCTGGGAAAGGAAATGGGAAAGGAAAACTTTGATACAATTAGGTTAAGTAGGTTTCCTTTTGAAGCTTTCGGTCTATTTTATTTATAAATACTCTTGGGAGCCACTTTAAATTGTCAACTTTTATTTCAACTTTTCAATAAACTTATTCGTTCAATCTGGTCAAAAGTTCTATAATTCGCTAAAAAAAAGTTCTATCGCTTTTTTTTCCACCGTGTATAATTAAATTTTTGTACAGAACGCGTTAATGCTCTTGCTATTTTGTTGAAGATGCGGTTTCTCTCATGATTATAGGCGTTGCAACCAAACGAAAAACGAAATTCAAACTGAACTTGGAAATTTAGGGTTTCTTACTGCAATGGCTGTGGGATTGCAGCCATAGAGTCACCAGCCGTGCCTCTGTATCCTCCAATCGAAAGCTGGTATTTAGCAGTCTCGTCTGCCACCTTAGAAGTCGCGTACTCAGCGTAAGCGACGTTGCCTTCAAAGCCTTTCAGATCAACTCTCAGCATGACGTCATCAGCGGCAGTCACAGGAGGTTTAAATTTTTAACGGCAGTCACAGGACTGATAGTAGCGTCACCAACGACCAACCCCTTGATGTCAACTTTAGCGAGCTGTTGTCTCGTTCCGATTTGTATAAATTCTATCTTACTATCATTTACTTTAAGCTTGTCTTTAATCATCCAACATCTGATGGCGCTGTTACAGCGTTCCATAGCGTCCACTGCGTTGCTTTGAGAAGATATAGTGTCGGGCCTAAAAGATAAATACAATTGAGTGTCATCTGCATAGGAGTGTGTCCGAGGAAGATGACCTTTAATGATGTCAAAGAGCTTGCTCGCATACATTGTGAATAACAGCGGACCGAGGTATGAAACAGAAAATAACGTTAAGAATAAATTAAGAGACAACAAGTAAGCTATCTCGTGGTATGCCCAGAATACCAATAGATATTTCGTTTTAAAAATGGTAGCTAAGTTCATTATTAATTGGTCAAAATTTCCAGTTAAGTGGCGAAAATTTCCCTATATCAATGAATACGAAACTCTTGGTAGGTTTAAAATATTAGCAATATCGTCAAAAATCACTAAAATTCTTGTTGTACAATTCGCATAACTTCGATGTTAAAAATGTGACACAACGCCTAACCTAGATCATCCGTTTTTCCAGGCATTATTCCAACACTATAAACTACTACATTTGCCGTATATTGCAAACGTGAAGCAACCAAAGACGTGTAACCAAGTCATCTGGATCTTTAACACCATCAGAGTCATTCAGCTCACACACGTGATCACCAACCTTGGCTAGACCAAAGTTTTTTTGATTCACACGTGACTTCAATGAAACATTGAACTTCACAAATCTCTGCTGTATTTGCTCGCGGTGTGCTGATCACGTGATTTAGGAGACCCTTGTTTACAACTAGCTTTTCAAACTCCTTTGTTACGCATGGAGCTATTTAAAATTCACAACACCAAATAAGCAGTAAATTGGAGATAGACTAAACTTTAAAAAAATAACATTATCAATTATTAATCACTAAGAATTATGCAAAATTTTGCCAAACTCTCATAAGGTTTCTTCATAAATAAAAACACTTCTTACGCTTTGACTCGACAGCGAGCTCCTCAGCAAGACAAAAAGGCTGACAAGCCCACTTTGTAGTACTTTACTCTGGTATACCGACTTTATGAAGCAATATAAAAATAAATTAAATAAAACAATAAGATCTGCACATGATGTGGGTAGTCAAACACGAAACGACAAACTTAACTACCTATTTATTTATTTATTTATTTATTTATTTTTCATTTAGATAAAAGATGTTATCAGAGATTAGAGCTAGATGTAAAACTAAAAATGTGTGACGATAAAACTGTAGAAATCTTATCACTGATTTGCAAACAGCTGCCATCTCTCATATGGAACTCGAAAACCAAAACCTCAACTTATTTTTTGATCAATAATACGTTATCGTAGAACTTGTGGCTCAATGGATATAAGTACTGTACTCGCACGTGTATAGGCCGCACTCATGTATAAGCTGCACCCCGACTTTTGATCATATTTTCTCGATGAAAAATAATTTCACGTTTTCTCGAAAGGGCAAAAGGCCTGGCGAGTGACGCATACCGCTAAGATAAATTTGTTTATATCACAAAGTTCATCAGGATAAATAATCTAACATAGCATGCCATCGATCAAACAAACATTGCAAATGCAAACAACAATGGCTAGTCATATCTTCAAAACGGTCTTAACGTTAAAAAAAAGGTGAAAGAAAAGATACCTGGGTAATTTTGGCTAGATTTATATTCCAAGTACACTAACATTTTGTTTTATTTCCTCGGTAATGATCGCGTGACGTTGCGTACGTGATCGGGGGTCACGAGCAAACATAGCTTAGCGGTCTTGCCTCTTGATGGAAGAGGGAAACTGGGATAAAGATTTAAGTTATTCTGTGTACCACCATTTTGCACAAAATTTATTTGGAAAAAAATTGCGGCTTATTGACGTGCGGTAGTTGCGAAGGAAAATAAAATAAAATCAGATATCTCCTACCTATATGAGAGAGGCCATTCCATAAAATCCTCACTCAAACCATGAGAAGAAACGTTAACTTTAAACGATTCATGGGATCTAAGAGCAATTACAAGAAACTAAAGAATACATTTCCTTTGCGGCTCTACAAGATCAGTGATGATTACGTTAATGTCGCAAGACTTTATTTTGATGCATAAGTGACTAGCGGTTACACAAACATTTTAAAGATCTCAGGGGATGTATAATCCCTTAAAGAGCGAGTTAATCACGAGACAGGCCTAGGCTAGTAGGGATGAAACTATAGTCGCTTAAGTATAGTTTCTCAAATGTTATTCATTTGCAAGTAGTTCTCAAAGTAGGATTTATTTAATAAGGATGTAGCAGTTGGCTTTAATGTGCTTCTTTCCGTTGTCTGATTTGAAAGGGTCTGCCTCATTTCCACATGAATTGGTAACATCCACTCCGCCTCTAGTGCCACCCATGCCAATTCCAATCCTTGAGTCGCAGGAATTGCAATGTTTTTCGTTGTTGCTGATGATCCCAATTCTAGTAGAAGCCGAGTGTTCTCTTGCAGTCGGACACTTCACATTGAAACCTTCCTTGTTGCATTCCAGCTGAAGAGAGGATTCATCTATAAGCGATTTCCACTTATCTCGACCAAGGCTTGTCGGTTTGTAGTTGTTGTCTGCGACCAATGAATGCAATGAGTTTGCTTGCTTGTTGATAACTAGCCATTCTGTTACATTGCCGACCCTCATTCCCAGGCAAATTTGAGTGAAGTTATTACTCCAGTAGCTCGGCATCTTTGTTTCCTCATTGTCAAATCCAGTGGTGCCCGAAATTTCACCAAACGTGTTTTTGTTGCTCCAGTATTTTGAATGGTACGAGAAAGTATCCTTGGGAAGAAACACAAAATAATGTATAGACCTCATAACTCCGTGATTTAAGGCCAATTTTTCACTTTTATTTTTTTTTGTTTTTTTGTTTTTGTTATTTTTTTATTTCTTTCTAAAAAAGAACAAGAGGATCTTTGATGAAATGTGAACACTCTTACCAGTGGGCGACTTAAGAAGGATGGACAAACAATTATCTTTGTAACAGAAAATTGTCGAAATATCTCGCTAAAACCTCAAAAAAAGGTCATTTTTCGTTCCAGAAGATGATCATAACAACATCGTCAATCATGTCACGACGTATGAAATGGGAAGAAAAATAAATAGAAACTAATTCTTCTACCAACCTCGTTGCCATCAATCTTCATCACTAGCGTCCATCCTCCTCCCCCACAGCCAGGAATAACATCCATATGACAATAGGTGTGAGCTACCCCTCCCTTCTCTGTTTTGAGATAGTAAGCACCACTTCTAGATTCACTGAAATGAAACATATTTATGTTTTTCATTGTATTCCAAGGATTTCATGGAGCTTAACTCAACTTGGACACAAATCATGAATATGATCGTATGTACAATGTTCTTTTCCGCTTCCCGCATGGCCTTGATTGTCGTGTTGCACGATTACTATCAGTTTTTCCAAACCCTTTATTCGTTGTTTTAACTACTCTATTAAAAAATTTGAATAAACTCACGGTCTGTTTAATAGGACATCTTCACATGAAATGGCTGGATTCTCTGGATCATAACCTTTAGAAGCTGCCTCAGCTTAGGGAGCAATATTTTAGATATAGAAATATTAATACTTTTGTACATAAGATGACCTCCTGGACTTTCTTTTGTTTTATTTCTTCTTTATATCTTAAATGATGGCACATCGCTGAAACGCGGTTATAGAATATCCTTAAATTCATAGATGCTTAAAGAAAACATGCACCGTAGCCTTTAGTATATGTGTGTCCAAAGGCAAAAACTCGAACTTATCTTGGTAATGACCGATGGCATTGAACGGAAAAAAAGATGAGCTTCTACTGCTAAACCTTCTTATACCTGTGTACAAGTTAATTCTTTGGGTATTATATATTCCTTCTCCAACCCGTGATTGATCAGGAGTGTTCATTAATTTAAAAATGCTATAAAGCTCTTCGAAAAAGCTCTCTTTGAAAACCGAAGAAGGAAGTGATAACAGGATTATGTGATCGGCAATGCCAAACTTATTACACTCATTCACCTGATTCACACTTGTCTCCAGTAAATCCCGGTGAACAAACGCAGAGATAGGTTTCGTTTTCAAAATCTGAATAACATCGTGAGTTTGGAGGACACTGAGCGGTACCACATGGATTCTTTGATCAAATGCAAAAGAAAATAATGCGTAAATTTAACATAAAGAGCCAACTTGTTTTGATTTTTCGTAAGATATTCAGAAGACAAAGAGATCTTTACATGAATAAAGGTATTGATTACTTTAAGTCTCTATCTGAATGTCGAAAATTTTCCAAATATCATCGTTCACGCAACCCTTGGCAGGTTAAACTTTTTTTAGCAATTTCTCTCAGAGCTACTAAATTTACATACACAATTTTATTTAAACAACGTCTAACCTCGCCACGCGCTTTAATATGACCGTAAGTCACTGTCTTTTACCTCGTTATCGTGCTGTAAGATCACATGAGATAGCAAGTGCATGCGCCAACTCAGTGCGAGCTCACGCCTTCTTGGTCCAAGTACGTTTCTGATCTTGGGACAAAACGCTGCATTATTTGCTGAAAATGGGCGACAATCCACCTCTGACCCCTCCTAAAGAGGTCAGGGGTAGAGAAAAATCTTCTAAGGAGGATCCCAGCATTGATAAGGTGCGTAAATCAGCTGGAAAACCAGCCTCACAAAAAGGCGGGAAAAGGCCTTCAACTGCTCAAGCACTCACAAGGACTCGGCGAACGAAGGAAGTTGTGCTGTTTCCCTAAACTCTTGGTTCTGTTATTGCTGAAGCCCTCAAGGGTTCATTTGAAGGCCTGAAGGATTCAATGAACGCCGGTTTCAATGACGTGAACAATTTGATTGTATCACCTTCAGGCAGCAATGGTGACGAAGACTCGACCGATAATTATGATTCGTGTGTGTCCAAGAACGACGATGAATCACTTGTCGAAGAAGAGCCACCAGCTAAGAAAAAGAGGCTGAACGAACAAGGAAAGAACAGCAATCTCCTGATTACTAATCCAAACAAAACCCTTCAGCTCACCGAAAATGTAGGTCCCGCTATCGATGGGGAACTTGCATCACTTGTGGATAAAATTATCAGGGAGAAAGCTGATGAAGATAAAATAATGGAGTTAAAGAAACAACACGAAACTCCCGAAAATTGCGCCTCCTTGTCGAAGAGAAAGGTCAATCAAGGTGTCTGGAGCAAATTAGATGAGTCAGCTCGGTCAACTGACTTAAAATTCCAAAAGGTTTAGAAAAGTCTGATTAAAAGAATAATAACAGTCGTCTTAGAGGTGAACAAGCTGATGGACAACTCAGAAATTTAGAAAGAAGATACTGTTAGTGCCTTAATGGATGGGGTGCTCCTCTTAGCAAATGCTAACCAGGAGTTAAGCTATCGACGGAGAGAGTTGATGAGACCACAACTCAATACAAATTATAGACATCTTTGCAGCCCATCAAATCCAGTGACAGCTGAATTGTTTGGAGATGATCTGAAGGCTGTTAAGGACATCACAGACACAAACAAGCTCAAGTGGTCCGGGTTCGATCCCTGGCCGGGATCATTGTGTTGTATTCTTAGGCAAGACACTTTACTCTCACAGTGCTCCTCTTCACCCAGGTGTACAAATGGGTAGCAGCAAATATGCTGGGGTAACCCTGCGATGGACTTGTACCCCATCCAGGGGGGAGTAGCAATACTCCTAGGCGCTTCATGCTAAGGAAACCGGACTTAAGCGCCGGCCCCATGCTCCACTTGGGCATGTATAAGGGCTTTTTTAACTTTTTCACAATTCCGATGACAAGCAGTCAAAGAATTTAAACTTCCAGAGACCCCTCCACCTCAGAAGGAAGCAGAAGGGGAAGAAGAATAACTGCTAAGCTCAAACCTTAAACAGGTTAGTCTAACAACAAATAAATTTGCTGGTAGGCTGAGGCATTTTGTTCAACATGGATGAGTACCACAACAGACCAAAATATACTGAACATGGTACAGAACTGCCACCAAGAGATTGAAAATCCAACTCAACTAAGGCCGAGGCCTGAAATTCAGTTGATTATAAAGAGGAAGAAATAAAGAAGCTGTTAAAACCAGGGTACTCTTCCTTAAGACAGAAAGGTCACTTGGGTACATAGATGATTCTTACCTCCAGGGTAGAGATACCAACGAGTGCCTGCTTAATATCTCTGATACACAGACATTATTTTCAAGCTTGAGGTGTGTGATTAACGTGCAGAAATCATCTGTCATGAGAGCGCAGCGAATTACATTTTTAGGTTTTGTCCTTGACTCTGTGTTAATGACAATTACCCTCACTGATGACAAAAGAGCCAAAGTGAAAGCTAACTTTACAGCAAGGCAACATAAATATAAAATCACTATCAATGAGCTACCCCAATTAGTTGGCACACTTGTCTCTAGCTTACTTGGGGTACAGTTTGGGAAATTTCATATAGGAAGTTAGAAATAGAAGATAACGTAGCCCTCAAAGAGCAGTGCCTTAAGGGTAACTATGAGGCTCTCATATCTCTCTTCCTAAGCGTAAAAGAAGATCTTGCTTGGTGGAATGAAAATGTGGACAAGGCTTTTAATCCAATATCACATGGAAATCCTGTCATTGAGACTAGAACTGATGCGTCGAAAAAGGGTTGGGGCGCGTACTTTGATGGTGATATCACCCAAGGCTCGTAGTCTGGTACAGAAAGCCAATTGCACATCAATGAGTTAGAATTGAAGGCAGTCCATATCGCCTTGCAAGTATTTGGTGAAAGGCTAAATAATAAGCATGTCAAAATACTTTGCGATAACTCAACAGCTGTAACATAGATTAATGCCTTAGTGTGGTGGTGCCTTAAGTCACTCACATCAAGCCTTCTAAGACTGAGCTGGCGCATGTACTTGCTATCTCATGTAACCTTCCAGCACTTTATAACTATAACTTTAATTTTACCATTAACAAGGTTTCACAACTTCAAGTACGCAGCGACAAAATACAGCGTTCGGGAAATTTTCTTGATGTAAAATCAGAATGTTAGCTAATACATGCTATTTTCCATCGCTGTGAAGAGGTTTTTCCGAGCTTTGCGACTTTTGAGCCAACATTTCGTTGGCCAAAATTGAAAAAATTCATCTTTATCAAAAAGCAATTTGTCAAGTTTCATGTTATGCTTTTCACCACATTCCCTCCCCATGATACCTTTGTTGCGCGGTAAAGGAAGTCCTGCCGTGCCCTCAAGTCATCTGGATCTCTAACATCATCAGAATCACTTAGCTCACACAAGTAGTCACCATCCTCATTCGGACCAAAGTTGTATGATTCACATTTGATTTCAATGAAACAATGTATTTCACAAATCTTTGCTGTCTTTGCTCTCGGTGTGCTGATCACGTGATTTAGGAGAGCCTTGTTTGCAACTGGCTCTTCAAACTCCTTTGTTATGCATGGAACTATTTAAAATTCACAAGACCGAATAACTATCAATTATTGATTTCTGAGAATCGCAAATAATTTCGGGTTTCTTGTATGGAGTCTTTACAAATAGAAACGTTTCGATTTTAGTTGACAGCGAGACAATAACGATTAAAAGTCCACATTGCAATAAGGGACATTTGGCGCACCGACTTTATGAGCCATACTATTATATGGCTTCTTCATAAATAACACAAAAGTTTCGCAATCACTTGACGGCGCGCTCCACTGCGAGAAAGGAAGGCTTAATGTAAAAAGGCTGGTGCACCGATTTTCAAATCCAGTCATTCAACCATAATTTGACAAAAACCGATTAGAAAGGGAAAGGAAAATGAAGATATTTTTTTATTTGAGCGAAGGGCCTTGCTTTCGAAACTTTTTGTTATTTTTTAATAAAAGTAATCGTTAACATCAGAGATTAGATTGAGATGTTAGAGTCATATTAGGTGACGAAAAACAGTATGATTGTTAAAAATAGATTGATAATCTTTTGCAAACAGTTGCCATCATTTAAGTGGAGCTAAAAGTTTAAAACCTGCTCTTATCTTTGAATAAATAGGAAATTATCGTCGACTTAACTCGATCCATGAAAATAACAAGTTGGGCGGAAAAATAAAATCATAATCCTCCTACCTACATCTGCGAGGCCACTCCATGAAAGCCTCTCCAAAGCCACGAAAAGGAACATGGTGCATAGCTGAAAACAATTCATGTAATCTAGGATGAGCTGCAAGAGCTGAAGGAAACCTTCCTTTGAAGCCCTACAGGTTCAATGATTATTCTGTTTTTGCCAAAAGGCCGGCTCTATTGTAATGCATTACCAACCAATTTTGTCTGTGCTTTGAGTGGCGGGTTAATTAACCGCTATAGAATGTTTAGGATAATGAAAAATTCTCTTTTGTAGTTTCAAGCACATTTATGCTAATTAATTATTAATGACCTCCTCGCCTCATTGGTGAGCTATACTCCACACCAGGTGCCACCTGAGCAAGGGAATCTAAATCGATGCACCGGACAGTTAGCACTAAAGTAGGCCCCACGCACTTGCCGGGGTGGAGAGGTAAGCCCAAACGATAACAAACCAATAGCGCAGTACTAAGGTTCTGTGCACACTGAGGGGAGTAGGGGGAGGGGAGGGGGGGGGGGGCAGCCGTTATGAAATCGTCTAAGTAATGAAGCAAACTGGGGACCTTACCTTACAATTGTTAACTAATATCCATTTCACTAACATAATTAAACACAATTAAAGATATAGTGGGCTGAAAGGAGAACGAATGGAAAGGCTAAATCAACGTAACAACATTTCATACTCAGGATTAAGCGGTATGAGGGGTTAAAACGCAATGTTCCGATGGCAGCTTCGACGTCGAGTTTTCACATCAGTGCTCCTTCACCAAACTGTGATACCATGCGAAAAACTTGATCTACTGTCATGTAAGCAGTGTAAACTCATCAGAGTTAATACCGTCATTCACGCTGGCCCCTCCGGGAGAGCAGAGATCCACAATGAGAAGCCACTTTCCCGGTTGACCCATATTCCAAATCACCCCAAAACTGCTAACCTGAAGAAGAGGAAAAGGAGGCAAGGCAAAAGGGCCAGCAACCCTCCCAAAGGACACTTAAGGCGCCAAGTACTCATCAACTACTAAGGGGTGCTCATAAGCTGATGTTTTGTTCCTTTGGGAGGCTTGAGAGATTATAAATGAGTACTAATGGAACACCAAAGCGAAGCCCATTCAAAACAAACTGCACGTGCTAAGGATTTGGATAATGCCTCAACTCCCAGGCAAAATGCTCCACCTTCAATGGACTGACTGCAGAAACTGGAGGAAGCGGGGCTAAAGGGAGGAGGGAAACAAAATCATACTTAGGGGATCAGAAAAGCCATACCTTGTTCCCCCCCCCTCCCCACCCCAAGCACACACAGATAAGAGCTCCTCAACCACCCTATAATGGTAAAAGTGGAAGGACTAGGACCATCCCCCCCTAACATAGGTAAGAGACTTACTAAAACACAACCAGGAACAACACGATGAAACATTTTTTTAATGGAGAAAGGAACCACGGCCAGCCCTTCTCCTAACATCTAACAACGGGGAACTATGGCTGAACAAAAACTGAGAGGCACAGAAGCCGATAAATAAGGCTGGAAAAATATGAAAGCACCACCTCAGGTGCTTCTAGGCTTGCTGCTTGAACGTGGAGATGCCGGACACGAGGATCTCCGCTTTGAAGTTTCCTTAAATGGTGTCGAAGTTAAGGCAGGGCAGGCTGAGGCACGATGGGACCCTGAAGAGCTCCAACTACGATTCGAAAACGACATTGGGCATAAGGGGAGGAGCAACGACCCCTATTCTACGATTTGCGGACAATTTGTGAATTGCTAACTCCAGCAGGCTCAGCCCATTCATTAGCAAATTCGCCACGCCCACGAGTAGAGGCAAGTGTTAGGGTATTTCAAAGTATTGATAGGTTCAGTACCCATTTAATCGTACCTCATTTTACATATTTCATTTACCCCTGCGAAATGAGTCACTAACCGCGCCATATTACCCTCCAGTCAAAAGCCGGTACTTATGAGCCTCACCTTAAAAGTCGTATACTCGGCGTACTTGGCGTTCCTATCAAAGTTTCCACGTCAACTCTTATCATGACGTCGTAAGCGATATTAGCAATAAACTACTGACCATTCCGTAAATACCGAGCACCACTGAAATGGGACGTGGAGGACATGAATGAAAGCTAAGAGAAATTTTCAAAACGTTGCAGAGCTTTTCTGAGATGAGTCATTCACCTATCTAGTTACGATATTCATCAACATAGCATGTCTCATTAAATTCTCATTTTCAGATGTGAAAAACTAACGCAGCGAGAAACAAAGTTGGTAAATCCCCTAGCACAATATGTTTGTCTATATTTTTCGTCTCTCACAGGAAAACCATGTTGTCGAAAACAGAGAGGAGATTTCAGTACCTACCTTCAGAAAAGTAACTTTGAAAAAAAGTGACAGATGAAATAAGCCTGTTGATGCCGGCTGCTTCAGAATGGTCCATTTTAGCGGCGCGTGGACCATCAATCTGAATGGCAGCACCCTAATGCAAGGGTTGTGTGGCATTAACTCTGACAATTAAGATTGACTTCTGTCTTGGATGGGACTGCTGCAAATACGGGTTTTAAAATCTCAGTTACGAGTTCTGGCTTGGGAACGACAAATTTTTGCTATTGGACACCATGTTGAGAGTTGACCTGGAAGACTTTATAGGGAAGATCGATTACGCTTCCGACCTTTAAGGTGACAGACGAGGTCAATAGGTATACCGGCTTTGAATTGGAGGATAAAGTGCCTTGGCAGGTGTCAACATGGTCGTTCATAAGTAAGCAGCTTTTGGTCAAGTTGTGATTGCTTTAAGGATTTACGCGTAAATTTGGATTATTGACGTAAGAAAACGAAAAATTAATACTTACATTGCATGTTACGTGCATAACGACTGGTTGGGGGCTAAGAGATCCTCCACCGTCCTTTGTCATGTCACACAACACTTGGATTGGGTTGTCGCAATTAGGATTGATGATATATACGCCATTGAAAAAACTCGTCGCAGCTTTTTCGCTCTAAAAAAACTATTATAAGTTTTATTGTTGATGATGGCGTCATGTAAGTAAAGGTGATTTAGCAAAAGAAACAGATAAAAGGGAAGAAAGCTTGTCAGTCGGCTCACTGTATTCCATTCATAAACGATAGAGCTGAATATTTTGTAATAGGTAACAAACCTAGATCATAGGACTAAACATCACTTTATATTCTAATTGTAAGAAACACACTTAATATTCACCTTCACATAGAGACCCATCGCCTTTATATCCATCCTTGCACCAGCAGCTATAGGACCCTTCAGTGTTGTTGCATAAGGCGTTCTCGTGACAGGCACAAATTCCTTCTGTGGACTAGTTCACATCTGTAAAGTGTCAGAACATTCCTTTAGCATCACTGATCCTTTAAGTCAAGGAAACTTAGGTTCCGTGAAAGGTTGATAGTTTCTACCTAACCCATTCTTGATTAGAAGTGATTTCCTGAGGTAATAAGGGTTCTTATTATATTTTCCAAATCCTATAATATTCCAGACGAGTTCCTTTTTCTTTTTCAAATTGTAAACTTAAGAAGTTAAGAAGAGCATTCTTTCTAAAAAAACCAAAGAATAAAAGGAAAATAGGACTCTGCCATCGGTTGTGCTCAGCGCATTGCACTCACCTGTTTCACGCCTCTCTCCAGTAAATCCTGGTGAACATACATAGAGATAAGAGTCGTGTTCAAAATCCGAATAGCATCGGGAATTCACAGGGCACTGAGTTTTAGCACATGGATTCTTTCGTAAGATGAAAAGAAAGTAAAGTTAAGAATAAATAAAGAGACAACTGCTAGGCCGTCTCATGGGATACCTAGAATACCAATAGATATTTCATTTTAAAAATAGTGTCTAAGTTCACTATTAATCGGTCAACATTTCCAGTTAAGTGGCGAACATTTCCCCATATCAATGTATTCACAACCGCTGGAAGGTTTAAAATATTAGCAATATCGTCAAAAATCACCAAAAAAATCTTGATGTACACTCTGCATAACTTCGATGCTAAAATGTAACACAACGCCTGACTAAGATCAGTTATTTTTCCAGGTACTATTCCAACACTATAAACTACTATATTTGCTGTATATTGCAAACGTGAAGCAAGAAACGACGAAATACAACGTTAGCGAAATTTTCTTGATGCAAAATGACAAAGGTAGTCTATACATGCAATGTTTATTGCTGTCAATAATTTTTTACCGAGCATTTTTTGTCTCAAAAATTAGGAAATCATTTTCTATGAAAAAACTCTATTTTCATGTTATGTTTTTCACTACAGTCCCTCGCCATGATACCTCTATTGCACGGTGGAAGAAGTCTCGCCGTGCAACCAAGTCATCTGGATCTCTAACATCATCAGAGTCATTCAGCTCACACACGTGATCACCACCCTCGGTTAGACCAAAGTTGTAGGATTCACACGTGACTTCAATGAAACATTGAACTTCAAAAATCTCTACTGTATTAGCTCTCGGTGTGCTGATCACGTGATTTAGGAGAGCCTTGTTTACAACTAGCTTTTCAAACTCCTTTGTTACGCATGGAACTATTTAAAATTCATAACACCAAATAAGCAGTAAATTGGAGATAGACTAAACTTTAAAAAATAACATTATCAATTATTAATCACTAAAAATTATGCAAAATTTTGCCAAACTCTCATAAGGTTTCTTCATAAATAAAAACACTTCCGACGCTTTGACTCGACAGCGAGCTCCTCAGCGAGACAAAAAGGCTGACAAGCCCACTTTGCAGTACTTTACTCTGGTACACCGACTTTATGAAGCAATATAAAAATAAAATAATAAGATCTGCTCGTAATGTGGCAAGTCAACTATGAAACGACAAACTTGACTTCCACTGAAATTTTTAAAAATCCACTAATTGAGGTAAAGACGTTTGCGTATTTATTTATTTATCATTTAGATAAAAGATGTTATCAGAGATTAGAGCTAGATGTAAAACTAAAAATTCGTGACCATAAAATTGTAGAAATCTTATTACTGATTTGCAAACAGCTGCCATCTCTCATATGGAACTCGAAAACCAAAGCTTTAAATTATTTTTCGATCGATAGTACGTTATCGTAGAACTTGTGGCTCAATGGATATAAGTACCGTATTCGCACGTATATAGGCCGCACTCATGTATAAGCCACGCTCCGACTTTTGACCATATTTTCTCAAAAAAAAATAATTTCACGTTTTCTCGAAAGGGCAAAAGGCCTGGCGAGTGCCGCATACCGCCAAGATATATTTGTTTATATCACAAAATTCATCACGATAAATAATCAAACATAGTACGCCATCGATCGAACAAACATTGCAAATGCAAACAACAATGGCTAGTCATATCCTCAAAACGGTCTTAACGTTAAAAAAAAAAAAGGTGAAAGAAAAACTTACCTGGGTAATTTTTGCTAGATTTATATTCCAAGTACACTAACATTTCGTTTTATTTCCTCAGTAATGAGCGCGTGACGTTGCGTACGTGATCGGGGACACGAGCAAACATAGCTTAGTGGTCTTGCCTCTTGATGGAAGAGGGAAACTGGGATAAAGATTTAAGTTATACCGTGTATAGGCCGCACCACCATTTTGCACAAAATTTATTTGGAAAAAAAATTGCGGCCTATACACGTGCGGTAGTTGCGAAGAAAAATAAAATCATATATCTCCTACCTATATGAGAGAGGCCATTCCATAAAATCCTCACGCAAACCATGAGAAAAAACGTCGAACATAACTTTAAACGATTCATGGGATCTAGGAGCAATTACAAGAAACTAAAGAATACATTCCCTCTGCGGCTCTACAAGATCAGTGATGATTCCGTTAATGTCGCAAGACTTTATTTTGATGCATAAGTGACTAGCGGTTACACAAACATTTTAAAAATCTTTAGGTTCCTGATGAATTCTCACTTGTATTGCAAAGCGTACTGATACTGATTAATATTTAATGACATCTTCACCTCAATGGGGAATATTTTCGCTTGCTAGATCCCTGAAATGTAAAGCAACAAAATACTTATAAACAGGATAGGAAAGGATTTCCTAAAAAAAGAAAAAACAGACCGTAAGTTTATTCAAATTAATGTATTACGTGTATATATGTATATGTATATATAATTTCTGTCTGACGAGCGCTTAGGCGCAAAATTCAGATTCACAGAGAATCGATGCGTCCTCTTTAATTCTTTAACTTATGTGTAGATACATACACACATATATTTATTTATGCATATGTATTGATTTAGGGAAAAAACAAAGATACTTCGCTTTCATCCTGACAATCTTTCGTGATTAACTCACTACTCAGGGGATGTATAATCCTTGAAGAGTGAGTTAATCACAAAACAGGCTTGTAGGGATGAAACTATAGTCGCTTAAGTATAGTTTCTTAAATTTTATTCATTTGCAAGTAGTTCTAAAAGTAGGATTTATTTAATAAGGATGTAGCAGTTGGCTTTAATGTGCTGCTTTCCGTTGTCTGATTCGAAAGGGCCTGCCTCATTTCCACATGAATTGGTACCATCCATTCCGCCACTAGTGCCACCCGAGCCAATTCCAATCCTTGAGTCGCAGGAATTGCAATCTTCTTCGTTGTTGCTGATGATCCCAATTCTAGTAAAAGCCGAGTGGTCTCTTGCAGTCGGAGACTTCACATTGAAACCTTCCTTGTTGCATTCCAGCTGAAGAGAGGATTCATCTATAAGCGATTTCCACTTATCTCGACCAAGGCTTGTCGGTTTGTAGTTGTTGTTTGCGATCAATGAATGCAATGAGCTTGCTTGCGTGTTGATAACTAGCCATTCTGTTACATCGCCGACCCTCATTCCCAGGCAAATTTGAGTGAAGTTATTACTCCAGTAGCTCGGCATCTTTGTTTCCTCATCGTCAAATCCAATGGTGCCCGAAATTTCACCAAACGTGTTTTTGTTGCTCCAGTAGTTTGAATGGTACGAGAAAGTATCCTTTGGAAGAAACACAAGATAATGGCCAGTTTTTTACTTTAATTTTTTTTTTATTTATTTCTAAAAAAGAGCAAGAGGATCTTTGGTGAAAAGTGATCACTCTTACTGGTGGGTGACTTAAGAAGGATGGACAAACAATTATCTATGTAACAGAAAATTGTCGAAATATCTCGCTAAATCCTCAAAAAAGGTCATTTTTCGTTCCAGAAGATGATCATAACAACATTTTCAATCATGCCACAACGTATGAAATGGGAAGGAAAATATGTAGAAACTATTTCTTCTACCAACCTTGTTGCCATCAATCTTCATCACTAGCGTCCATCCTCCTCCCCCACAGCCAGGAATAACATCCATATGACAATAGGTGTGACCTACCCCTCCCTTCTCTGTTTTGAGATAGTAAGCACCACTTCTAGATTCACTGAAATGAAACATGTTTATGTTTTTCATTGTATTCCAAGGATGACATGGAGCCTAACTCAACTTGGACACAAATCATGAATATGCTCGTATGTACAATGTTCTTTTCTGCTTCTCGCATGGCCTTGATTGTCGTGTTGCACGATTACTATCAGTTTTTCCAAACCCTTTATTCGTTGTTTTAACTACTCTATTAAAAAATTTGAATAAACTCACGGTCTGTTTAATAGGACATCTTCACATGAAATGGCTGGATTCTCTGGATCATAACCTTTAGAAGCTGCCTCAGCTTAGGGAGCAATATTTTAGATATAGAAATATTAATACTTTTGTACATAAGATGACCTTCTGGACTTCCTTTCGTTTTATTTCTTCTTTATATCTTAAATGATGGCACATCGCTGAAACGCGGTTATAGAATATCCTTAAATTCATAGATGCTTAAAGAAAACATGCACCGTAGCCTTTAGTATATGTGTGTCCAAAGGCAAAAACTCGAACTTATCTTGGTAATGACCGATGGCATTAAACGGAAAAAAAGATGAGCTTCTTCTGCTAAACCTTCTTATACCTGTGTACAAGTTAATTCTTTGGGTATTATATATTTCTTCTCCAACCCGTGATTGATCAGGAGTGTTCATTAATTTAAAAATGCTATAAAGCTCTTCGAAAAAGCTCTCTTTGAAAACCGAAGAAGGAAGTGATAACAGGATTATGTGATCGGCAAAGCCAAACTTATTACACTCATTCACCTGATTCACACTTGTCTCCAGTAAATCCCGGTGAACAAACGCAGAGATAGGTTTCGTGTTCAAAATCTGAATAACATCGTGAGTTTGGAGGACACTGAGCGGTACCACATGGATTCTTTGATCAAATGCAAAAGAAAATAATGCGTAAATTTAACATAAAGAGCCAACTTGTTTTGATTTTTCGTAAGATATTCAGAAGACAAAGAGATCTTTACATGAATAAAGGTATTGATTACTTTAAGTCTCTATCTGAATGCCGAAAATTTTCCAAATATCATCGTTCACGCAACCCTTGGCAGGTTAAACTTTTTTTAGCAATTTCTCTCAGAGCTACTAAATTTACATACACAATTTTATTTACACAACGTCTAACCTTGCCCAGTCGGCTCTCGCCACGCGCTTTAATATGACCGTAAGTCACTGTCTTTTACCTCGTTATCGTGCTGTAAGATCACATGAGATAGCAAGTGCATGCGCCAACTCAGTGCGAGCTCACGCCTTCTTGGTCCAAGTACGTTTCTGATCTTGGGACAAATCGCTGCATTATTTGCTGAAAATGGGCGACAATCCACCTTTGACCCCTCCTAAAGAGGTCAGGGGTAGAGAAAAATCCTCTAAGGAGGATCCCAGTATTGATAAGGTGCGTAAATCAGCTGGAAAACCAGCCTCACAAAAAGGCGGGAAAAGGCCTTCAACTGCTCAAACACTCACAAGGACTCGGCGAACGAAGGAAGTTGTGCTGTTTCCCTAAACTCTTGGTTCTGTTATTGCTGAAGCCCTCAAGGGTTCATTTGAAGGCCTGAAGGATTCAATGAACGCCGGTTTCAATGACGTGAACAATTTGATTGCATCACCTTCAGGCAGCAATGGTGACGAAGACTCGACCGATGATTATGATTCGTGTGTGTCCAAGAACGACGATGAATCACTTGTCGAAGAAGAGCCACCAGCTAAGAAAAAGAGGCTGAACGAACAAGGAAAGAACAGCAATCTCCTGATTACTAATCCAAACAAAACCCTTCAGCTCACCGAACATGTAGGTCCCGCTATTAATGGGGAACTTGCATCACTTGTGGATAAAATTATGAGGGAGAAAGCTGATGAAGACAAAATAATGGAGTTAAAGAAACAACACGAAACTCCCGAAAATTGCGCCTCCTTGTCGGAGAGAAAGGTCAATCAAGGTGTCTGGAGCAAATTAGATGAGTCAGCTCGGTCAACTGACTTAAAATTCCAAAAGGTTTAGAAAAGTCTGATTAAAATAATAATAATAGTCGTCTTAGAGGTGAACAAGCTGATGGGCAACTCAGAAATTTAGAAAGAAGATACTGTTAGTGCCTTAATGGATGGGGTGCTCCTCTTAGCAAATGCTAACCAGGAGTTAAGCTATCGACGGAGAGAGTTGATGAGACCACAACTCAATACAAATTCTAGACATCTTTGCAGCCCATCAAATCCAGTGACAGCTGAATTGTTTGGAGATGATCTGAAGGCTGTTAAGGACATCACAGACACAAACAGGCTCAAGTGGTCCGGGTTCGATCCCTGGCCGGGATCGTTGTGTTGTATTCTTAGGCAAGACACTTTACTCTCACAGTGCTCCTCTTCACCCAGGTGTACAAATGGGTACCAGCAAATATGCTGGGGTAACCCTGCGATGGACTAGTACCCCATCCAGGGGGGAGTAGCAATACTCCTAGGCGCTTCATGCTAAGGAAACCGGACTTAAGCGCCGGCCCCATGCTCCACTTGGGCATGTATAAAGGCTTTTTTAACTTTTTCACAATTCCGATGACAAGCAGTCAAAGAATTTAAACTTCCAGAGACCCCTCCACCTCAGAAGGAAGCAGAAGGGGAAGAAGAACAACTGCTAAGCTCAAACCTTACACAGGTTAGTCTAACAACAAATAAATTTGCTGGTAGGCTGAGGCATTTTGTTCAACATGGATGAGTACCACAGCAGACCAAAATATACTGAACATGGTACAGAACTGCCACCAAGAGATTGAAAATCCAACTCAACTAAGGCCAAGGCCTAAAATTCAGTTTGAATATAAAGAGGAAGAAATAAAGAAGCTGTTGAAACCAGTGTACTCTTCCTTAAGACAGAAAGGTCACTTGGGTACATAGATGATTCTTACCCCCCAGGGTAGAGATACCAACGAGTGCCTGCTTAATATCTCTGATACACAAACATTATTTTCAAGCTTGAGGTTTGTGATTAACGTGCAGAAATCATCTGTCATGACAGCGCAGCGAATTACATTTTTAGGTTTTTTCCTTGACTCTGTGTTAATGACAATTACCCTCACTGATGACAAAAGAGCCAAAGTGAAAGCTAACTTTACAGCAAGGCAACATAAATATAAAATCACTATCAATGAGCTGCCCCAGTTAGTTGGCACACTTGTCTCTAGCTTACCTGGGGTACAGTTTGGGAAACTTCATTAAAGGAAGTTAGAAATAGAAAATAACGTAGCCCTCAAAGAGCAGTGCCTTAAGGGTAACTATGAGGCTCTCATATCTCTGTACCCAAGCGTAAAAGAATATCTTGCTTGGTGGATTGAAAATGTGGACAAGGCTTTTAATCCAATATCACATGGAAATCCTGTCATTAAGATTAGAACTGATGCGTCGAAAAAGGGTTGGGGTGCGTACTTTGATGGTGATACCACCCAAGGCTCGTGGTCTGGTACAGAAAGCCAATTGCACATCAGTGAGTTAGAATTGACAGCAGTCCATATCGTCTTGCAAGCATTTGGTGAAAGGCTAAATAATAAGCATGTCAAAATACTTTGCGATAACTCAACAGCCGTAACATATATTTATGCCTTAGTGTGGTGGTGCCTTGAATCACTCACATCAAGCCTTCTAAGACTGAGCTGGCGCGTGTACTTGCTGAGCACTTTATAACTTGGTAGAATCTCTATCAAAATTCAACTTACAGGTAAGTCTCGTTTAATTTAACCATTAACAAGGTTTCACAGCTTCAAGTACGCAACGACAAAATACAGCGTTCGCGAAATTTTCTTGATGTAAAATCAGAATGTTAGCTAATACATGCTATTTTCCATCGCTGTGAAGAGGTTTTTCCGAGCTTTGCGACTTTTGAGCCAACATTTCGTTGGCCAAAATTCAAGAAATTCATCTTTATCAAAAAGCAATTTGTCAAGTTTCATGTTATGCTTTTCACCACATTCCCTCCCCATGATACCTTTGTTGCGCGGTAAAGGAAGTCCTGCCGTGCCCTCAAGTCATCTGGATCTCTAACATCATCAGAATCACTTAGCTCACACAAGTAGTCACCTTCCTCATTCGGACCAAAGTTGTATGATTCACACTTGATTTCAATGAAACATTGTATTTCACAAATCTTTGCTGTCTTTGCTCTCGGTGTGCTGATCACGTGATTTAGGAGAGCCTTGTTTGCAACTGGCTCTTCAAACTCCTTTGTTATGCATGGAACTATTTAAAATTCACAAGACCGAATCACTATCAATTATTGATTTCTGAGAATCGCAAACAATTTCTGGTTTCTTGTATGGAGTCTACAAATAGAAACGTTTCGATTTTAGTTGACAGCGAGACAATAACGATTAAAAGTCCACATTGCAGTAAGGGACATTTGGCGTACCGACTTTATGGGCCATATTAGTATATGGTTTCTTTATAAATGAAACAAAAGTTTCGCAATGACTTGACGGCGTGCTCCACTGCGAGAAAGGAAAGCTGAATGTAAAAAGGCTGGTGCACTGACTTTAAAATTCACTCATTCAACCATAATTTGACAAAAAACGGTTAGAAAGGGAAATGAAAATGAAGATAGTTTTTATTTGTGCGAAGGTCCTTGCTTTCGAAACTTTTTGTCATTTTTTAATAAAAGCAATCGTTATCATCAGAGATTAGATTGAGATGTTAGAGTCATAATAGGTGACAAAAGCAGTATGATTGTTAAAAATAGATTGAAAATCTTTTGCAAACAGTTGCCATCATTTAAGTGGAGCTAAAAGTTTAAAACCTGCTCTTTGAATAAATAGGAAATTATCGTCGACTTAACTCGATCCATGAAAATAACAAGTTGGGCGGAAAAATAAAATCATAATCCTCCTACCTACATCTGCGAGGCCACTCCATGAAAGCCTCTCCAAAGCCACGAAAAGGAACATGGTACATAGCTGAAAACAATTCATGTAATCTAGAATGAGCTGCAAGGAGCTGAAGGAAACCTTCCTTTGGAGCCCTACAGGTTCAATGATTATTCTGTTTTTGCCAAAAGGCTGGCTCTATTGTAATGCATTACCAACAAATTTTGTCTATGCTATGAGTGGCAGGTTAATTAATCGTTATAGAATGTTTAGGATAATGACAAATTCTCTTTTGTGGTTTCAAGCACATTTATGCTTATTAATTATTAACGACCTCCTCGCCTCATTGGTGAACTATACTCCACACCAGGACTTTGAAATACAAAAAACAAAAAATATTTGAAAGTTTTCTCTCCTCGTCACGGACAAACGACAAAGCAAAAATTCTGATTCCTCCGTGAAAAATTGAAAACCTTGAACCGGATTCCGTGCTCCGATGCTCTACCACTGAGCCACAAACTCTCTACTATTTGCTAGGTCATTAATGGTTTCACATCTGACACGCTTCCCGTATATAGCTAAGATCAGCGATGACCAAATCGTCATGTCCGAAAATGGCACAAGACAAACCACCTTGATAAGAGAAATACAAGTGGATTTGAAATTTTTTTGTCAGTCTGAGTGTGTGAATGCATAGTAATGTCTGTCTTACAACTTTAGAACCATGAAGGTGTTCTCAGAGAAATTCAAGTGTCAGCTGAGTGCTCTGATCGACTTTCTGGATTTGATAACTTGACTTAAAATGAGGCTTTTATTTACAGAGAGAGGAAGATGGTGTAAAAAAAAACAGAAAAATTGAATTTCCAACGGCAAAACATAAACGGTAACCCATGCTATCTTAACACAACTTTTGCATTATGTAAATTTAGGGAACACGGCGTGATCCCAATCATTTTGTTGAACCATCAGAAGATTATCTTTCATTCAAAACAAAAGCCGATATTTTCCCATTACTTAAATTTGAAATAAGCGCAGACAGGTTAGGTTAAGCTCATCACCAATAGATGAGCTTAGCAATTGGTGCCTTAAAAGTTGGACGGGAGCCTGAAAGCCTCAGGTATAGCAAGGAGGTATCCATGGCAACCCAAACCTTGCCAGCAGCGGAGAAGATCTGGCTAAGCCAAATTGTGAGAAGCACACGGGATAGAGGACGACCATCTTGCAACATGAAAAGAGGACCTGGAGCGCACCCCCGAACGGAGAGATAAGCCATCATAGCCTACACCGCACAGAGCGGATGGCTGCCCAAACCAATATTCAGGTTGGCCCCCTTATGAGGGTCAGAAGGGTCAGTCTCGAACGCCTTGATGGCTACACGCATACAAGACGTTGACGAGGCTCCATTCACTACAATTACTGCACAAGAAGAGAAAATGGTCAGATTAGGCACTGTAAACTCGCCAGCGCCGAGGAAACCAAAGTACCCCAATGTGCACGCTGCCCAAAACTCACAATGATCCGTGAGGTGCACGTTCAGGGATTTCCAGATGAAAAGCATGTGACTATCTGATGCGCAGACGATTAGAAGACGAAGAACCCTGAGATCGCTTTATCCCACAAACGACCCGTTACAAACGCGGACAGTTCTGTAGAGGATCTTGTAGCCCTTGCTCTATTTTAAGCGTGCGGACACCAGACAAATAGACCTTGATAGTCGAATGGTGTAAGAATCTCGCTAGAAAAGTTGCAAACAGACACAGAGTCCATTCATCAGTGGGACAACGCGACCCAGAGGGGTGAAGCTGGCTTTTAGCTTAAGGAAAAAATGGAAGAACTTTCTTTGAGCGGTTGCATACTTCTTGCGAGTGAATGGGGTTAGGCCATGCATAAGGAAGGCGTGACACTGCTGTTCTGGAGAAAAACTGGTCAATTCCGATAGAAGCTGGGGAAGAACCGGTGTTGGGTTGGCTGAGCACCCGGGGCCAACTGTCGAAATTCCTGCCAACGGAAACGAGAAAGAGCATCAGCGATTTGATATAAGACGGCTAAGATGTGTTGACCTGAAAAGGAGAAGCTACAGCGTGCCGCGGAGAATTGCATAAGGGATGGAATCTTTGAGGTCCTCGAATTCAGTATTTGGACCACGGCCTTATTGTCTGAGCGAAACAAGACATGCTTTTTGCACCACTGCGGCCCCCACACATGTGCTGCCACCACCACTGGAAACAGTTCCTTATAAGCAGTGGATTGCTTCTGTTGAGAAACAGCCCAAAGGCTAGCGAATCAGAAGCCCTTGAAGTAGGCCCCAAAACCAAGGGAACCAGCAGCATCAGATGCAACTTCTAAGTCAACCACAGGAGACAGTCCTGGGTATAACCAAAAACTGACGTCATGCCACTGAGCTAAGAGATGATCCCACCACTGCAGATCGAGGTGGAATTCTTTTTTCAACCAAATAGGATGACCCTTCTTGCGAAAACAACTTAAGAGGTCTACCATACGTAGGAGGAATGTTCTGCCTGGCCATACCACTTTAGCCGCATGACGCAAATTTCCAATGAAAGATGCGAGTGTGCGCCTGAAGCACCAGTTCCGAGGCAGCCACGAAAGAATCAGCTTTCCTTCAGGGAGACGTGCCACCTAAGCAAGGGAATCTAAATCGATGCACCGGACAGTTAGCACTAAAGTAGGCCCCACGCACTTGCCGAGGTGAAGAGGTAAGCCCAAACGGTCACAAACCAATAGCGCAGTACTAAGGTTCTGTGCACACTGAGGGGAGTAGGGGGAGGGGGGGGGGGCAGCCGTTATGAAATCGTCTAAGTAATGAAGTAAACTGGAGACCTTACAATTGTTAACTAATATCCATGTCACTAACATCTTAAACACAATTAAAGATATAATGGGCTGAAAGGAGAACGAATGGAAGGGCGAAATCAACGTAAAACTTGCTGCACCATTTCATACTCAGGTGAAAGCAGTATGAGGGGTGAAACGCAATGTTCCGATGGCAGCTTCGACGTCGAATTTTGAAGAAAGTGGTATGAAGGGTGAAAACGCAATGTTTCGATGGCAGCTTCGACGTCGAATTTTGACATCACTGCTCCTTGACCAAACTGTGATACCATGCGATAAACTTGATCTACTGTCATGTAATGCAGTGTAAATTCATCAGGGTTAATACCGTCATTCACGCTGGCCCCTCCGGGAGAGCAGAGATTCACAATGAGACGCCACTTTCCCGGTTGACCCATATTCAAAATCACCCCAAAACTGCTAACCTGAAGAAGAGGAAAAGGAGGCGAGGCAAAAGGGCCAGCAACCCTCCCAAAGGACACTTCAGGCGCCAAGTACTCATCAACTACTGAGGGGTGCTCATAAGCTGATGTTTTGTTCCTTTGGGAGGCTTGAGAGATTATAAATGAATACTAGTGGAACACCAAAGCGAAGCCCATTCAAAACAAACTCCACGTGCTAAGGATTTGGATAATGCCTCAACTCCCGGGCAAAATGCTCCACCTTCAATGGACTGACTGCAGAAACTGGAGGAAGCGGGGCTAAAGGGAGGAGAGAAACAAGATCATACTTAGGGGATCAGAAAAGCCATACCATGTTCCCCCCCCCCCCTCCCCACCCCAAGCACACACAGACAAGAGCTCCTCAACCACCCTATAATGGTAAAAGTGGTAGGACTAGGACCATCCCCCTCCCCTAACATAGGTAAGAGACTAACTAAAACACAACCAGGAACAACACGATGAAACATTTTTTAATGGAGAAAGGAATCACGGCCGGCCCTTCTCCCAACATCTAACAACTATGGCTGAACAAAAACTGAGAGGCACAGAAGCCGATAAATAAGGCTGGCAAAATATGAAAGCACCACCTCGGGTGCTTCAAGGCTTGCTGCTTGAACGTGAAGATGCCGGAGACGGGGATCTCCGCTTTGAAGTTTCCTTAAATGGTGTCGAAGGGGCAGGCTAAGGCACGATGGGATCCTGAAGAGCTCCAACCACGATTCGAAAACGACATTGGGCATATTCTACGATTTGCGGACAATTTGTGAATTGCTAACTCCAGCAGGCTCAGCCCATTCATTAGCAAATTCGCCACGCCCACGAGTAGAGGCAAGTGTTAGGGTATTTCAAAGTGTTGATAGGTTCAGTACCCATTTAATTGTACCTCATTTTACATATTTCATTTAACCCTGCGAAATGAGTTACTAACCGCGCCATATTACCCTCCAGTCAAAAGCCGGTACTTATGAGCCTCACCTTAAAAGTCGTATACTCGGCGTACTTGGCGTTCCCTATCAAAGTTTTCACGTCAACTCTTAACTGCTGTAAATACGGGTTTTAAAATCTCAGTTACGAGATCTGGCTTGGGAACGACAAATTTTTGCTGTTTGACACCATGTTGAGAGTTGACCTGGAAGACTTTATAGGGAAGATCGATTACGCTTCCGACCTTTAAGGTGACAGACGAGGTCAATAGGTATACCGGCTTTGAATTGGCGGATAAAGTGCCTTGGCAGGTGGCAACATGGTCTTTCATAGGTAAAGCAGCTTTTGGTCAAGTTGTGATTGCTTTAAGGATTTACGCGTAAACCATGATCATTGTCTTCGTCTAAAACTGCATTTTACTGAAATAAAGTAGAATTTCATGTAAGCTTGTTTATATCATGTTTAAACATGTGGAAGATGGTTACTGTTAATGAGAAACTTAGTCTACATATATAAATTACTTGAATAAATTGCATAAAGACAGTAGAGATCGGAGACACAGACAGACCGACAAAGTAAGATCTAAGAGATAAGTGTATTCAACTGAGGAATGGGATTTTTTTTCACATTCAGCGATACATAATTTAACCTTAAGCTATCAGTATTTTAAAGGGCTGGTTTGATCGCTGCTACAAGACATCAGCTTTAAAGTATCGCCAAAAAGTATTGTCTGCCATTCCAAGTTGATCAGCATAGTTTCTTTGAGGCTCACTGAAATTCTTCTTTGTTTCTGAAGAACGGTCCAACCTCCACCGTCCTTTGTCATGTCACACAACACTTGGATTGGGTTGCCGCAATCAGGATTGATGATATATACGCCATTGAAAAAACTCGGCGCAGCTTTTTCGCTCTAACAAAACAAAACAAAAAAAAACTATTATCAACCAATATTATTTTATTATTCGTGATGGCGTCATGTAAGTAAAGGTGATTTAGCAAAAGAAACAGATAAAGGGGAAGAAAGCTTATCAGTCGGCTCACTGTATTCCATTCATAAACGATAGAGCTGAATATTTTGTAAGAGGTAACAAACCTAGATCATAAGACTAAACATCACTTTATATTCTAATTGTAAGAAACACACTAAATATTCACCTTCACATAGAGACCCATCGCCTTTATATCCATCCTTGCACCAGCAGCTGTAGGACCCTTCAGTGTTGTTGCATAAGGCGTTCTCGTGACAGGCATAAATTCCTTCTGTGCACTAGTTCACATCTGTAAAGTGTCAGAACATTCCTTTAGCATCACTGATCCTTTAAGTCAAGGAAACTTAGGTTCCGTGAAAGGTTGATAGTTTCTGCCCAACCCATTCTTGATTAGAAGTGATTTCCTGAGGAAATGAGTGTTTTTATTATATTTTCCAAATCCTATAATATTCCAGACGAGTTCCTTTTTCATTTTCAAATTGTAAACTTAAGTTAAGAAGAGCATTCTTTCTAAAAAACCAAAGAATAAAAGGAAAATAGGACTCTGTCATTGGTTGTGCTCAGCGCATTGCACTCAACTGTTTCACACCTCTCTCCAGTAAATCCTGGTGAACATACACAGAGATAAGAGTCGTGTTCAAAATCCGAATAGAAAAGAGAATTTACAGGGCACTGAGTTTTAGCACATGGATTCTTTCGTAAGATGAAAAGAAAGTAAAGTTAAGAATAAATAAAGAGACAACTGCTAGGCCTTCTCATGGGATGCCTAGAATACCGATAGATATTTCATTTTAAAAATAGTGGCTAAGTTTACTATTAATCGGTCAACATTTCCAGTTAAGTGGCGAAAATTTCCCCATATCAATGTATTCACAACCGCTGGTAGGTTTAAAATATTAGCAATATCGTCAAAAATCACTAAAAATTCTTGACGTACACTCTGCATAACTTCGATGTTAAAATGTACCACAACGCCTGACTAAGATCAGTCATTTTTCCAGGTACTATTCCAACGCTATAAACTACTACATTTGCCGTAGATTGCAAACATGAAGCAAGCAACGACGAAATACAGCGTTAGCGAAATTTTCTTAATGCAAAATGACATAGGCAGCCTATACATGCAATTTGTATTGCTGTCAATAATTTTTTACCGAGCATTTCTTGTCTCAAAAATTAGGAAATCATTTTCTATGAAAAAACTCTATTTTCATGTTATGTTTTTCACTACAGTCCCTCGCCATGATACCTCTATTGCACGGTGGAAGAAGTCTCGCCGTGTCACCAAGTGATCTGGATATCTAACACCATCAGAGTCATTTCAGCTCACACAAGTTATCACCACCCTTGGTTGGACCAAAGTTGTAGGATTCACACGTGACTTCAATGAAACATTGAATTTCACAAATCTCTACTGTATTTGCTCTCGGTGTGCTGATCGCGTGATTTAGGAGAGTCTTGTTTACAACTAACTTTTTAAACTCCTTTGTTGCGCATGGAACTATTTAAAATTCACAACACCAAATAAGAAATCAATTGGAGACAGATAAAACTTTAAAAAAAAATCACATTATCAATTAATGATTATTAAGAATTGTGCAAAATTTTACCAAACTCTTATATGGTTTCTTCATGAACAAAAATGCTTCCGACCCTTTGACTTGACCGCGAGCTTCTCTGCGAGGCAAGAAGGCTGACAAGCCAACTTTGCAGTAAAGGGGTAAGTTTCTAAAGAAACTGTGGTGCTGCGTCGGTGGGAGAGTATAGCAGGTAATTTAGTGTTAACAACTGGGTTGAAAACGTAAATTAGCCACCGTAAAGGGTAAAAAAGCTGACGTTTCGAGCGTTAGCCCTTCGTCAGAGCGATTGACGAAGGGCTAACGCTCGAAACGTCAGCTTTTTTACCCTTTACGGTGGCTAATTTACGTTTTCAACTTTGCAGTACTTGACTCTGATACACCGACCATGAAACGACAAGTTTAATTCCCATTGAAATTTTAAAAAATCTTCTAATTGAAGTAAACACATGCCTTTTAATTCCCTGTTGAGTGAGTTAATCACGAAACAGACTTGTCGGAATGAAAGAGTAGTCTCTTTGTTTTTTCCCTAACTCAATACATATCAAGCTCTGCTTCTATCTATCGAGCACTGTAATACGGAAAAACCGAAACACAGACTCTCCACACACACACACACATATACATATATATAGATTTCGTATTTTTGTCATTATTTTTTAGTGCATTGTATCGACTTCTAAACAAAAGATAAAGACAAAGATGAGCACTTTGAAAATAACTACAACCAGGAACATAATGAAACCTTTATTTCCATGGCAGTTATTTCACTTTGCAAATCATAGATTCAACTGGTTACACTGGAGGGGATGTCAATACTCACCTAAAGGAACTAAAGTGAGATAAAAGTCATATTCTTTAGCAGTTTAACTCTTTGTTCTGGTCATTTCTTTGGACTATTGTTGTGTGCGACCCTCTTCAATCTTCGAGTGATGAGGGAATCGTTTCAGGGAGAAACAGATAATTGAGGATATATCTACATAATGCAGGGTGTTGTCTTATACAAGGTATTGTTTCGGCGATTTATCTTAGAATTTCTCTCAACAATTATATATAATAGTGATGTTTCATACATGAAGCAATGGAAAAGAAACAAAGCTGCTAATTTATTTAATAAGGATGTAGCAGTGAGCTTTAATGTGCTTTGGTCCGTTGTCTGATTTGAAAGGGCCTGCCTCATTTCCACATGAGTTGTTACCATCCATTCCGCCTCTAGTGCCACCCGAGCCAATTCCAATCCTTGAGTTGCAGGAATTGCAGTCTTCTTCGTTGTTGCTAATAATCCCAATTCTAGTAAGAGCCGAGTGGTTTCTTGTAGTCGGAGACTTCACATTGAAACCTTCCTTGTTGCATTTCAGCTGAAGAGAGGATTCATCTATAAGCGATTTCCACTTATCTCGGCCAAGGCTTGTCGGTTTGTGATTGTTGTCTGCAATTAATGAATGCAATGAGCTTGCTTGCCTGTCGATAGTTAGCCATTCTGTTACATCGCCGACTCTCATTCCCAGGCAAATTTGAGTGAAGTTATTACTCCAGTAGCTCGGCATCTTTGTTTCCTCGTGGTCAAATCCAGTTGCGCCCGAAATTTCACTAAACAGGTTTTTGTTGCTCCAGTAGTTCGAATGGTACGAGAAAGTATCCTTTGGAAGAAACACAAGATAATGTATGCACCTTATTACTCGATGATTAAGGCCAATTTTTGACCTTGATTTGTTTTGTTGTTGTTGTTGTTGTTGTTTATTTAAAAAAAAAGAAAAACATGAGGAACTTTGATGAAATGGGAACACTTTTAAAATGTTGGACTTAGCACTAGGATGGGAAATTTACCGGTGGGCGACTTAAGATGGACAAACGATTATCTTTGTAATAGAAAACTGTCGAAATATTTCGACATGATCATAACAACATCGTCAATCATGTGTTACAAGGTATAAAATGGGAAGGAAATAAAGAGAAACTATTTCTTCTACCAACCTCGTTGCCATCAATCTTCATCACTAGCGTCCATCCTCCTCTCCCACAGCCAGGAATAACATCCATATGACAATAGGTGTGAGCTACCCCTCCCTGCTCCGTTTTGAGATAGTAAGCACCACTTCCAGACTCACTGAAATGAGACATATCTATGTTTTTCATTGTATTTCAAGGATGACATGAAGGTTAACTCAACTTGGATACAAATCATAAATATGATCGCATGTACAGTTTTCTGCTCCTCACATGGCTTTGATTGTCGTCTTGCACAATTACTTTCAGTTTTTCCAGACCCTTCTTTCGTTTTTCAAACATTCTATTAAATAATTTGAGTAAACTTACGGTCTGTTTAATAGGACATCTTCACATGAAATGGCTGGATTCTCTGGATCATAGCCTTTAGAAGCTGCCGCAGCTTAGGAAGTAACATTTTAGAGAAATATTAATGTTGTTTTTCATAAGATGACCAGCCAAACCTTCCTTTATTTAATTTCTTCGTTATATTTGAAATAATTTCCATTCTATCCCAAGCACTTCTTTAGAACGCGGCTATGAAATATCCTTAAATCCTTAAATGCTCAAAGACAACATGAACCGTAGCCTTTAGTATAAGTCAGTCCAAAGGAAATAACTCGAACTTATCGTTGTGATGACCGACGTAATTGAACAAAAAGAAAATGAGCTTTTACTGCTATACCTTCTAATAACTGTGCACAAGTCAATTCATTGGGTTTCAGCCGAAACATTCCTCACAAAATCACACTGAAAAAACTCCACGTTGAAGCAAAACGAAAATACCCAACGATTGTAATCAACTTTTCTTCTCCAGTCTTATTCATATTTGATAATACCTATGTCGCATGTCGTTCCTGTAAATCCCTGTGGACAAATACATCGGAAGCTGTTGTCAGCAGAAAAATTTGGTCTGCAGGTTGAACCTTCTGCACAAGGAGATCGACTGCACGGATTCTGTTATTTTTAAAAACAAAGCTTTGTTCAAAATTTCTGACGGCATTCAGCATAATAATTATTCAATAGACTGTAAAAACAAGGACGGAAGACCATTATCAATGGGGGAACAAAAAATGGATGCCAAATGACATATTTATGAACTAAAGGAGATTGGAAAAATTTCATATTTCACCTTCGATGCATAATATTTAAAGCCTTCGTCCTCAATAAGACTTTGTGGATTTTGTTTTTCGTCTGTGTCGCTCAATTCACATTTCCACCTACCACTAGCACCGTTTGGGCTGACGTTAATTGATTGGCAGACTTCATCCAAAAAGCAGTGAATCTTACAGGTTTCCTCGCCTGGCACATACAGAGTCTTGACCACATGTCCTCGCAGAGCCCTCCCCTCAATAACCGCTGAAAATTCTTTGATCACGCAACTCTCTGCAAAACAAATTATGGATTTAATATTCAATTTATCCAACAACACTTGTAATTAACTTTTTTCCTTCAGAAGAATCCATTTAATACATGGAAATATTCTATTCTCCACGTCAGTTTATTTCCAAACTCCCTCTTGTTGGTTTGGAAAAATAATAGCGGTTTCTTCTTCTTTCTCTCTCCTTATTTTTAAGAAGCAAGTTTAAGAAGTTTAGTAAAGATCTCATTTGCAAGAACCCAAATTTTATCGTAGGATATCACAACAAAACCAGTAAATTCATATTCAATTTCATTAGCTACATTGTAAATTACACGGTCATTTATCCCTGAATTAGCTGTAACCCATATTTCACGTTCTCTTTGGTTCAGGACCGCTTTCTTCATTTCTTGATGGACGCAGTCCGATGAATTGACCAATTACAAGTACTTTTTAGCTAAGAGCGACGGTTTTTTTTTCTAATTTGGATGTTGAAGATAAATTCAAACGTGTAGATGTTTTCCGCGACCATTGTTCTCGCTTTTTTGAGCCATCGAAGTATTAATAATCAAAAGCAGCTTAGTGTAACGTCGTATTACTATCATAATAAAATACATGCAGAAATAATGCGCTTCTAATCGGCTGAAAACGAGTGCATTTTTTATTTAACACGAGGGCAAATTATAGATAGCGCGCGCGCTGCCAAAATATCGTCAAGACTTATCTTGATTCTCTGTTATGCTTTTTTCATGTAAATTATTAGTAAAAAATAAGCTGTGGCTCGTGCAATTTTTGTTGTCTTTGAAAGTTTACACGTACTTATTAAAACCAAATTGCACTCAAAATAATGTTATTACCAATACACATAAATCTGACTTACACTTGCTTATTCATCCATCGTTTTTTATCTTCGGAGGTAACTTTTCCCCCCTTTTTGGTACATAATTTTTTTAGGAAAAAATTGTTAATTTATTTACACTTTTTATGTAAAATTTACCAAGGGTAAAGCCCCTTCACTCGAGTCAAAGTCACAGTACCATGCGGGATTTTTCCAATATGACCAGCGTAAC